ATGAAGTACTAATTAATGAAGTTAATGATACCAATATCTTGACACAGTAAAACTAGCAATTAGCTATAGTTTTGAGACACATACAATTTTGCTTTTGTTAAACGCACCTCTGAACACGATCTTCTTAACATAAATAACTGAAATTGGATCATGTTTATATTGTTTACCTTTGATTAATTTTATTAACGCTCTTTTAAGTTCCTTAATTGAAAATGTGGCGATACTTCTTTTGTATTAACACACCTGTACACGCCCATTTTGTTGCAACAGAAATGACAGACATGAGATCATTTTTATATTGTTAATCTTTGATTAATGTTAATAACACTCTTTTAAGATCCCTAATTGTAAATGTACTGATACCTCTTGTTTGAAGTATTTTTGAAGATCTTGTAGAATAAGGAATTTGAAATTAACCAAGCATATGCATTCTTGCATTGATATTAATCCTGGAATTTAATAAATTGAGAGACCATAATAAATAATGGCATGTCTGCTATTAGTTCATACATGTATTACCGTGTGAAATGTTGAGGGTGCTAATATGTATGATCAGATCTAGAAATGTACGATCAGAAATCACAAATGAGCAGATATGAGTTTCCTGGTTACATGTCACCTCAACACCTCTGTCGACACTCGAGGCCCGACGGATACCAGTATCAACCTTACTACACACTGTACAAACTATCCACGATATGTCAAAAGCAGAACTGCATTGTTTCAATATTAACGTGTTATACAATTATTTAACAATATTAGAGAGGACGCCATAGTCTATACCATAATTTGTCGCAGACAATGATAAAAAGAAACAAGTCTCCAAGGTGTTCAAAATAGGCATCAAAATATAACTGGTTTTTGTTCGTTTTTGAAGCTTTTGTTAACTTTTTGGCCATCCCTCGACTTTTGGATTATTTTTTCTTCACAAAGATGATCATCTTTTGAAAGATTACATTCCCAATATGAGGATCTTGAATCTGATGACAAGGAGAGTGACTTCCGGTCCAATTTCTTTATACATGTATTTGTTTTGATAAAATGCAAGCTTATGAGGGTTTCTAACCTCAGGAGAAAGAGTCAGGGCGTCAGTTGCCATAAACTCACACTTGAGAAAGAGGACTCTGATTTTGAAAGCGTAAAGGCGATAGCACGCAGTTACCAGGCCGCAACCATAAAGCACTTGTGACCTGAACATGGGTATAGCTCAAACCGCTGTGATGTATTTCAATTATGGGGTAATGTCCGGAAGAGGTGAACGCGTACATCAAACTGTACTTTTCCAGAAAACCCCACCTCCAACACAAACACACACATACTCCACCATCATCAGCGCTATAAAGGGGCACATTAGTGCCCGTTCATACTACTGGGCTTTACACAACAATGAGTGACCTTGTGGAAATAATCTTTATCAAATCTATTGAGAATTAGTAGCATCGAATCAGTTTGAACCCTTTGTATGCAATGAAACCTCTGGTGCTTTCTTAAAGTCGCAATAACAGGGAATGCTTTGGCACAGTTGCAAGAAAATGGTCTCTCGCCCGCATGTGTGCTTAATAAGCCTATCAAGTCATGCTCAGTGATTAGACACTTGACGTTTTCTGACTTAGTCACCGAAGCTACACATGTAGACCTTTTCCTGTCCTTCCTGAGACTGATGGAGCTTCTTTACTCCCTGAGCTCTGCATGATGTGGGATTTTGTCATGGAGAGCTAGTCTTTCACTAGTGAACTCTCAATTTACACTGGTGAATTTTCGGGTAGTCACAGCCTCCACTGGACTTTGTCATCCTCTTCATCATTCATATATCTCCCCAAGCAGCTTCCTACTATGAAAATATTTTCTTCTGAGCTGCGACATCATAACCATCATCTTTTCTTGGAGACTTGTTGCGGCTGATTACCAACAACACTCATTTTCTACACCTTTACTAGAGCGCTGTTATTCCCCAGCTCTTCAAACAAGCTCTGTGACTAGTAGACGTCGTGGGAATTCTGAGAAATTCACACAAAGAAAAAATAAAAATCGTTTCTGATAGACTTTGAAATGTACACAGTACAGAAAGCAGAGTCTTTAGAAATAATGGTCCGAGTTAGTGGATATCTGATTGTTCAGAGCAATAGCTGCGATAGACCCACTGCGCCCATAATTGCAGGATTATAAACAAGATTCAACCAGGAAATACCCTGGGATTGCAGCGACAGGCGAATGAAGGTGGAAGGTTTACTGCACCCAGCCTGTTCAGCATCAAGTCCCTCACCTATCCGCTCCGTTCACAAGTACCCCGACACTGGAAAAGAGAGTACAGTTGGGGGTGACGTACCGACTGACGCCATCTTGCCCGACTGCAATTAATTTGCCGTGAAGCGCGGCCACTGCCTGTACATAGCACAACTACCCTGGTGTACGTGCGTCACACATAGGGAATGGTGCCCGTCAACCGACGAAATGTCCCGGCCATTGGACGTTGTTGCTATGTAAAAGTCAGCACAGACAGAGCTCATATCATATCACGCAGGCACTTCATGATTCAGATGTAGAGTTGCATGGCAGTAACAATATCAAGCAACCTCCTAGAACTATCTGACATGAGAAGGAACCCATAAAGACCACAAAAGACCCCAAAAAGTGGATCCCAAACAGGAACATCAGGCAGGAAATGAAGGAGGTGATGATGGATGTCTGACTAATGCGACAACATATGAAGCAAGAATGAAAGAAGGTAACAGCAAGAAAAGGTGGCCCTTCTAGGCGTTGGCGACAAGTGAATTTCAATAATCACGACTTGTTGAGATATAAAGTCGTGACCAATAGCACATTATTATTTATCCAGTAATACCTTTTGGCTAATGGACTTTTTACTAATAAATTCAAATATACGTTTACGTGCACATAAATGGGCCTGTTAAAAGAAGCAAAAGCGGTCCATTTATCATGTACAGGGGTATAAACTTTCTTGACATTTTCTATAAATTTCTCAAGGATTTGTCGCTTTTTCCTGAGAAATTTGATTTGCATTTTAAGTTCTGTGCGGGTAAGAACTATTTTAGTGAGTAACCACATTATCCAGCACCTGCCCCAGTATTACATGTACAACGGGGCATAGATCATCAGAGCATGCTGCTTTTTACACAAGTGCTTCTTGAAGTATTGGCGACTCTTGCCTAGTCGCATTAGTTGTACACGCCCACCCCCTGACACACTGAAGACATGCAGTAACAAGATCACAGCAGCCTAGGCTACAGTTACAGAGGATAAGAACTGCTCCATCCTCACAGAAGAGGGTGCAGTTAAAGAACTGTGCAATTATGAGCTTCGACCAGACACCAGTATACTGGACAATACTACCACAGAGAATATGGGAATGTGATACTGGGGATCACATGTGAATAGGATAATGTTCTAGTAGAGCTATTAAAATGTGAAGGGATAGAAGTCATCGAGACAACTATATTCCAGTTGTCCATTTGCTGCAAGGTCGCTTAGTTCAGACATGTGTTGCACTAGGACTTGGTCCTTGTCCAAGAACAGCCTACAGGGAGCAGTGGTGGGCAGATGTCACAGAGGCCGACAAAAAAAAAGAAGGCGTGGACTATATCATGCCCCTTTACCCTGCATGACTGAGGGCACAAAGCTACGGAGATCCCTGACTCACATTGCGAGTAACCTCCACTAGAAACTTCTGAGAGAAAACAGTCGATCTAACTGTAAACTGGCCAGCCCTCTAATCTATCTTAATCCTTTGTCCAAACAGTAGCTTTATAATCCCTAATACCTAGTGTAATAAAGCCACATGTGCTGTCACACAGCTGATATTGACAAGTGCAGGGGATTAGCAGCAGTATCTGATAACAGGGGCCAGTTTGTTGACAAAAGGATTAACAAGATAAAAGTGAAACTCGGAAAGCTGCTAGAAGCACTTACACCTGATGTGGCCAATCGACTGTCTCGTCACGTTAATGACTATATGGTCACAGGATGAATCGTCGCAGAGCTGACAAACCGGCGAATCGACCATTTTGGCGATTTCGATTTTTTGTTATTTTTAGGCTTTATGAAGGTTGCTCTTTCAAGTATTTATGCCAAAATTCTTAATATTTGTCTGGATTTTGAGATTCAGAGCCCCCTTGTGGCGAATCACTCACAAAAACAAATCCATAATTTGACATAGTGACGAATACGAAATTTCGCTGGTAACCAGCTTATGTAAGGTGTGCGTTCCAAGTACCAACGAATGTTATTCGTCAGTTTGTTGGATTGCGCGTGCGTGCACGCGCGATCCGACGAACTGACGAATAGCATACAAACATTTCGCTGGTAACCAACTTATGTAAGGTGTGCGTTCAAAGTACCAACGAATGTTATTCGTCAGTTTGTCGGATTGCGCGTGCGTGCACGCGCGATCCGACAAACTGACGAATAGCATACAAACAGTGTGAAGAACAACCGGATATTGCAGATTAATGTAATTTGACAAACTGACGAATGCGTTTACGATCAAATAAAATCATATCGCACAACTTCTCTGATTAAATAAGTGACCTGGTGGATACTTAGTTTCATATTTTATTCAGAATATATACTAACAGTATTTTTATCGAAACATTAAGGGTAAAATACGGCGCCCGGAGAAGTGTCCAACTTCAAACGCGAATTACTCCAAACAAGGTTTTTGCTTATTCGTCGGTTTGTCAGCTCTGCGACGGAATGACTGAACAATCCTCAGAGTCTCTCAACAGAAGTTTATTTCGTCTGTTCCATTTTTTTTGTGGCCTCATAAACAGATAAGCATTGTACACAGATTTAGGTGACAAATTTATTTGTTCGTGTGATATATTTCATGCATGAATACAGTCAATGACTTTACCCAGATTCAAACGGCTGTCACCTTTGATTTTGGTCCGTAGTTTTTCTCCTTTGGCATGCATGACATGAATGCAAAAATGTACAGCATTGTCCACAAAATTTCGATAATGCAATGGGGAATTGAGTCTTACCTGGCTTTTGGTCTTTGTGTGTCGTTTCCACGGCAAAATCCTGCCCAGTATTTTGAGACTGATCAAGATCCCTTGCAGAGTTTTCTGGAGAAGATAAAAAGGAGTGCAAAGTTTTACCATCCTTCGTTCCATCAGCACCTATAGTGTAGATATAGTGTACATTTCATTTACTAAGTAGGGAGTAGCAGACCCAGTCTTCACTGTGTGATAATGACCTGGTTAGGGAATAACTGTTGTTAATGGACCACTGTTAATTGACAACAAGTCAAAGTATTTGACCCATTATCTGACAACTGTGGGCCAAGAAGAACTTGAATCTAAGTAAGCCTCACTGATTCTTGGCATTCCAGGATGTGGCACTTCTTGTTTGACGACAACATCCACAGGGGCCACAGGGGCTACAGGAGCTAGTGGGTCTATAAATACTGCTGGAAAGTGGCTATGAATGAAAAAAAAAACACAATAGACGATCTCAAACTTCATCAGGTTTAATAGTTGTTCAGCACACTTCCTTTAGATTTTGAGCACTTGTGTTGCTTCAAACGAACAAAATGCACCAATTACAAATGATGGTTTGTACCTTTGAAGCTGCACAAACCAAAAACAAATAAGTAAACTTCCCATACAATACATATAGGTGTTAACTTTGTGAGGGCTGTGGTCCAATGGTAATAATACGGTGTTTGACTCGTGTGCCGTGGTACATGGGTTCGAATCCTGATGGAGAACATGGTGCTTGTGCTCTTGAGCAAGGCACTTTACCATTATTGCTTCGTCCTTCCGATGGGACGTAAAGCCATAGGTCCCGTGTGTTGTGGTATGCTTAACCCTCCGGCGCAGAATCTAGCCCTTTTGGGGACCCAATTTGGTTAATTACCTTAATTACAAAAAAAAATTCAAACCAATTCTGGTGATCTTCCATCTAATCCTAGCAAGAGGCACCCTCTACGGATATATGCAGTCACCTTTAGTGTGTGACCCCGGGTCAGGCATATCTGAGCATGACAACCTGGGCTAAGGACCGACGCAATTTCTGCCCATCCGGGGACCCACCATATACACGCGCACAAAACAACTCCGACGCAATTTCTGCCCACCCGGGGACCCACCATATACACGTGCACAAACAAGTTCACTTGCGAGTAGACAGTGCACGGCTTGACCACAGACTATGTATACAAATACACCTCCTTAGTCTACAGATATGGCAAGATTGTGTTCATGTGGATACAGTGTTGTGTAGCCTCAAACCGTGGCGCTAAATATTTGGGTCCCCAGGGGACCCCTTACTGTAAGTGTGTTACTAAATGGGCTTTCTGCGTCGGAGGGTTTTAAAGAACCCAGTAAGACTTATAGCTAAGAGACGGGGTTTGCATGGTCAAAGTCAAAGTCAAAGTATTTGACCCATTATCTGACAACTGTGGGCCAAGAAGAACTTGAATCTAAGTAAGCCTCACTGATTCTTGGCATTCCAGGATGTGGCACTTCTTGTTTGACGACAACATCCACAGGGGCCACAGGGGCTACAGGAGCTAGTGGGTCTATAAATACTGCTGGAAAGTGGCTATGAATGAAAAAAAAAACACAATAGACGAGCTCAAACTTCATCAGGTTTAATAGTTGTTCAGCACACTTCCTTTAGATTTTGAGCACTTGTGTTGCTTCAAACGAACAAAATGCACCAATTACAAATGATGGTTTGTACCTTTAAAGCTGCACAAACCAAATATGAATGAAAAAAAAACCACAAAAAACACAGGCAAGACTTATAGCTAAGAGACGGGGTTTGCATGGTGTTTCTGGCAGTGGCTGCAATATGCGCCGCAGCACCTTGTATACCGTTTACGCAGCTGTTACACGTCTCATATTTCCCACAAACTTCATTTATATTACCTGTCTTTAAAAATAGACGTAATTACCAGCCCCTTGAGTACAGGTACATACAATAATAATAACTTGGGAGGCTAAAATCACTCGCATCTGAGCAGCCGAATTATTGCAAAGGACACGGCTACAACGTACTCGTATTATTTTGATGTTCTATAAAGGACAAGTTTATGTCGCAATTATATTCCCAAACGCCGCAGAAAGTGAACTACAGCGTTCTAAAGTGAACCATGACCTTTGAAAAATTGTGACTTGTGGCCAGGCTAGTGGTGAAGCTGGCCAAAAGGTAAAAGTGAACCACAATGTACCGTGAATCACAACTGCCTAAGACTGCAACTTATCCTGTATAAAACACCTTCCAGTCTCCCCAATACATGTATAGAATAGCTTCAAATTCCGTTCTTCTATCTGCATTCTCCGTATGCTATCCATTTTTGTGTGTGTAAATGAGATCAGCGGTACACAAACCAATCTTTAGGCGAAAGATCATAAGCTTATAAACAAAATCGTATTCAAGCAGGTATCACGACACATTTGACTAAGACGTACTATTTACGTTTCACCAAGTCTATTGGTTTTGTAACTGTTTCCTCTCTCACCGTTCTGCATGTTCAGGATGAAAGAACTGAATCTTATCTTTCGCTTGAATGATCCTCTTGAGGCTCTTTTTCCCATAAGCAGAAGGCCGCTTTAACACCATATCTTCCGGCAGACCCACAACGTTAATTTCCGACAGGCGTTTGTATGTCATTTTCTTTTGCCCTGTTGCTTCTCTACCACAAAACACAAATGGATTCAATGTGTTAAAATATTAGCATAAAATACATGTTATAAAATTTATAACGAGGAGGAATCTAATGAAAGTAACAACTGGCACTCATCAGTCACATAGGTTTGCACACACATTCATAGGTTCAAGATTCATTCATTTACAACAATCTACAGATACATATACCATAGAAAGTGATATCTTAAAGACACTGCAGATGAGCCAGTTAAGAAGCAAAGCTTTTAAGCATGGGCCCCAGACAGGCATGTTCATTGAGCCCAAACCGAGAGAAGGGATGTAACAATGAACAATATTGAATAGTCATACGTGGTAGGGCCCTTAGTACATACAAAAATAGCATACCTTAACACAATACATATTCGGACGCAGACAGAAGACAAACAGTGCACTGCCTGGTTCCTTTATTGAAAGATTTATTGCATGATGCCATGCCAACTGTGAACCTAAGCCAAAATAAAACTTCCTCGTTATTTTAAAATGTAATAAAACTTACTATATTTGGCGTTAAATATCGACTGCACCTGTTCTCTCAAGATCGAAATGTCTTCAGCGCCTATTATCTCTGCAATAAAAAAGGTCACATTGTTGTCTGTTGCATATACTAGCAAGGATCTATTATGTTACCTCTTGAGAAGTTAATTACGGAATAAATTAAGCTGCACATACATACTACACACACACTGAAATTTGTATCTTTGTGGAGTCAATTCTTTGTTCTCGTGAACTAAAAGTTTAGAGTTTGAAAGAGTAGTTACAAAATGCTCCTATTTTGACCGCAATTAATTTAATTGGCTGACATTCCGACTCAATCTCCCTTACATAAAAACTTTAATTTGCAACATACAGATCAACACACATTGGAAATTCTTAGTTTTTGAGTAAAATCCACACATCTATTGCGTGATAACCCTGTGGAGACGTATTCATCTAAATTGCCCTGTGGATCTCGGAGACGTATAATACAATCTTTTGTTCCCTATCATGTACATGTCTCCACAGGGTACCGTGCACCAGATCATAGTCACAGGGATTGTGTGAACGGTAATTATTTGTGAACAAAAAAATTAGGTTACAATGGGAAAATGCTAAAGCAGTGTTTCATTTACCGATTGAATTTCTTTCTCTACAGGATATTCTGGGGAAGACCCACGGAATTAGGTAGGGACTAAAAACCCAATCCACATGTTGGCCCAGGCAGGGTTCGAACGGGTCACAGCGGTGGAAGGCGAGGAAAGTATCGCTACGCCAACCTGACTGCCCTTTCTGAGCAATAACAAGTTCATCAGCAAGAACTGGATTATCCAAATTGGGTAATTTAGTGAAATGGTAGACTTCTTTCAATCATTAAAACTTGAAAAGATGTCGATTTTTCGGTTTGGCAACTAAAATGTACATTTTTATTTACATACAATGTAATAAAAAAAGCACATGCTGCACACACGTATGCAGTGTATTTACCTTCACATAGGTCACAGACACACCGGTCTCTTTACTTGCTTTTTGAACTCTCGCTCGCTCTGAAGTTCCATATGCCCTCATGCCATCTTCCCAAAATCGAGTTAAGATTTCATCAACTCTAATCGGAAAAAAAATGCAAAATTCAATAATAATCCATTCACATTAAATCAGTTAGTTACACTTACTCTTACTTTTCAACTGGTGTGTTTATTTTCAACAGTTACAATTATTCAAGAGGAAAATGATAATGACTATATAGCTGTTTTTAATTCTCCTAGTATGAACTTATTCAATACACAAACTGAAAGCATGAACACTGTTCAATTTGACTTTAAATTTGATTCCACCCTTTTTGGAAATACGGTTATTTATACTTGCGACTTACTTTGAAAGTTCCGTACTCGAGTAGAAAAATCCACTACTCGCCCAGGCCTAGCTATATAGGCCTATAGTTCACACAAAATCAAACTAGGAAATATAACTACTGGAAAACTAGCTCATAAGGACCCCACTTTTTTCATTATTAACTCAACGAAGCTAGGTCACTCATTGCAAACATCTTGAAAAAGAAATGAGCCTACAGCTATAAGATTTCCAATTTCGCCGACCCCATGCTCCGAGCATGCCTCCATGATAGTGTACATAGTTTGACAACCACGTGGCGTCTAGACTATAGTGGAATGCGGAGGCTACATTCTCTCCCAATTAACGTTCCTTGCTCTACTCCAGCCCATAGCATAAGTTCTATTTTTTACGACATCAATTTCAACTTTAGCTTACTGTTGATCTTCATTTACGGGCTCCATCATGATCATCATCAGCACAACACACTTATTTATAAATGCGTACTACGATATTGAATGTGCTGCTGCAGAGTGTATAGGGGCCTATGTCCTTGACCTACTACCACGTGGCCACACGGACGCGCGTGTACACGTGCGATGTCTGGGGTCCCGCTATATTTTCTCTGCACAACAAAACTGCGGTTTTCATTTCACGCAGCTGGCCGCACGGCGCTGTATACAAATTGTATACAGTGCGGTAGCTACCCTGGGCACTGACAATACATGTACATGTATACACATGTACATGTACATACATACAGTTCGACAGGCGTGGTGGGACTAGTGACCTCCAAATACAAACAACTCCGTGAAGTTTACGTGCTGATTGAGTTTGGAGTTTGGACAATTCAACACTGACATGCCATACCAAAAGGTCCCTCACAAACTACACCCCTCCATGCTGCACCAAAACGTTATCAGTGGTTGTCGTGGCGTTGAGGCCGGTTTTCTGTTCCTTGCTCTATGTTGCGACGGATAAATTTGCAGTGAACCAAAATACGTGTAAATACGCACGAGATATACTTCCGGGATTACCAAACAGGTCTACTGACTGACTGTGAATATTCCTGACTGTCATGACTGTGTGTCTGTGTGTATATCTCGTAACATCTAGTTTAAAATCATTTTAATGGACTGATGAAGGAGAAGGAACTTGCGGAAAGATGATTTGTGTCATTTTGGTAGCTGGACATGGACGCGTTTTGGAAGATGAAATCAAGGTTTGTGCAGGATAAGACTACAAGAGTAAACAACTAATTAAATTTTTGAATATTAGACAACTCGACCGTTGAGACAACTCAACTCGGGACAGCTCGACTGTTGAGACAACTCGACCGTTGAGACAACTTGACTCCGGACAGCTCGACTGTTGAGACAACTCGATCGTTAAGACAACTCAACCATTGAGACAACTCAACATTAATTAAGACAACGCGACTTCGACTGTAACTGTTTAGACAACTCGACTGTTGAGAAAACTCGACTGTTGAGACAACTTCACTGTTGAGACAACTCAACCGTTCAGACAACTGGACCGTTCAGACAATTAAGTCGACCATTCAGACAAGTTGACAGTTGAGACAACTCGACTGTTCAGACAATTCAACCGTTCAGACAACTCGACTGTTCAGACAACTCGACCGTTCAGACAACTGGACCGTTCAGACAACTGAACCGTTCAGACAACTCGACCGTTCATCAGACAACTCGACCGTTCAGACAACTCGACCGTTCAGACAACTCAACCGTTCAGATAACTCGATTGTTCAGACAACTCGACTGTTCAGACAACTCGACCGTTCAGACAACTGAACCGTTCAGACAACTCGACCGTTCATCAGACAACTCGACCGTTCAGACAACTCAACCGTTCAGACAACTCGATTGTTCAGACAACTCGACCGTTCAGACAACTCAACCGTTCAGACAACTCAACCGTTCAGACAACTCGACTGTCCAGACAACTTGACTGTACAGTGTATGTGCATTAAGACAAGTCGTCCATTGAGACAAGTCACCCGTTGAGACAAGTCGACTCGCCATTTTTCGAGGGAGTAGGGAATATTATTACTAGGACGGGGATTGGGAGATGCCAAGTTTTTTGTTTTGCCATTGGGATGGAATTGTTGTCGTGTCCAGCCGCAGTTGGAGGGGTACGGTTTTGGGGTGGCCTTCTTGCGCTTGGGTCGGGGGTAGCCTGCTTGGCTCGGTCGGATCGGGGTTGCTGGGGTTGCTGGATGGGATTGGCTTTTTTAGTTTAGGGAAATTATGGCTCTATCCCATTCATTGTCAAATGGGATGGGCGAACATAGGAGATCAATGGTCGAGCTGTCCCGAGTCGAGTTGTCTGAACGGTTGAGTTGTCTGACATTCAAATGTTCTACAAACATGACAACAAAACGTATTCTGCATGCATGGTAGCCTAGTGCATTCGGCACCTTGCCAACTCAGTAGCCACCCCAACTCGGCATCTTGCCAATTATACCCGACACCCACTAACTCGGCACCTTACCAACTTGGCATTACCACCTCGTACCATAACGTTCAGTGGGTGCGCTAAATCTGACGTTTATTAACACTATATTACACAATAGTGTACAAATAACAGCAGGCTCTGTCCTAATTTTGTGCACAGGCATAATTATATTCATACCAGTATATTTTTGGGGGTGTCAGAGCAGCTGGGGGGGGGGGGGGGGGAGCAGTATTTTGCATGAATTTCTATGAAAAAAAAAACACAAATTTTTGACAGAGCTGGGTTTTTCTTGGACCCCCTCCCCCTGGATCTGCGCCTTGTTCAATATTTGAGATATTTTTCTGGATGACGCTTTAATTTTATCGAGGTGCATCACAATTAACCCTTACCCTACTTGACCCTCCAATGCATGCCAATTGTGCCTCAAGAAAATCTCCTATGTTTTTTGCATGGCCCTCCAATATCTGCCATGTCATTTCAAGGGTAACTGGACAGGCACTCCAATACATGCCACAGAGAACAATGAGAGTCCTCTGATAACAAAGTGAGTGCCCCCAGCTGGTCAGTATCAGGCACCCTCCAGGGCCTCCAACTCCTGCCAATTGGAGCCTTCACTGTTAAGGCTTGTTATCTGCCAAATAACTGCAGCTGGAGGGCATTGGCATAACCAACTGACATGCAGTAAACTACCCTCAGAGAGTAAGGGTTAAGGCACTAATATGTGAAGTAATTGTAGCCACCCAGCTAATTTTTGGGCAGTATGAGCAGCCTGATCAAATTGAAGATACATTGTATTTTAAACCTAACCCCTAGTAGTTCCTCAGGACTTTCTCAGTCCAACAAAGTCCAACCGGAGTTTCCTGCTCAATCCACTGTGCCTTATTTTCATTTGTTTGCTGAATCCAACGGAGTCCAACATGGCATTATAATGCGGTTCGGTTGCCTGCTGAATCCAACATTTTGCATCAGGAATTCATGTACACAAGGTGTTTACTGCTCAATCCAACAGGCTCCATCGGGTATTTGAAATATTTGGATCCTGTTGGATTCAGCAGGGTTAGGGTTAAAGACACGTTTGGGGCACTGGTACCCAGTCTGCCATGTTTTCAAAAAGTGCTTTTAAAAATGTAATATTGAAAAAACAAAATTGACAAAATGTAAAAGATAAGCCTATTTAAAAAAAATAATAATTAAAAAAAAAAAGCCAGCGTGGAGCTTGAAAGCAGTCACTTTCTGTTAACTTTATCATAAATGCATGCACCTACATGTAGTGGCTTATACCTGTTTGTTTTATTTTTAATGTCTTACAGAACGATGCCTCAGGGTGTTACTCCAACTTGGAAGGCGTGCCCAAGTCCTTACTTCCGGGCGTAGGTGGGAAAAGAATTCTGGATTTCTGGTGGGAGGCCATCAACACGTGAGTAGACAAACGAAAGAACCAAAACTGGTGGGAAGTGCAAGTTGTGGGAAATTGTTAGAATGTTAAAAACTGTATCTGGTGTGTGATGTATCCCCCCCCCCCGAAAATAAGCCTTTATTCCAGTGGTGAATACAGAATACACCTTCCAAACCTACCCCCGAACCGCCAACCTCAAACCCCTCTACCTCTACCCCCAACCACAACTCCCTCTATCTATGTACCCCTCCAACCCCCTACACCCACCAACACCTATCTCGATCCCAACCTGGAGCTGCTTATTACCTCCCCACCCCCCGATCCACCCACTAGTACCCCAACCCCATCTCAACCCCTTCCACATGCATTCAAACCTGATTAGAGGAGAGCCTACTATTGCTTTGCATCTTATCTGCATAACAAAGGATTGCCTTATACTGTAATGCCAAGTGCTTTCTAGAAATTTTCGTACTATCTATTTTTAGTCGAATAAGGCCAAAAAAAACCCAAAACGTCTGCTTCCGGTTTCCCTAGCTACCCTATTCTGACAGCCCGTACCCAATTCTTTTGGGGGGAAATGCGGAAAACAAACACCCAAAAATATCAATTACTACTTTTTACCCTTGGCTACATGCAGACACCTCTATATGATCGTACACAAAAAAGAATTTGCAAAAAAAACCAACAAATTCCCTGCCTGCCCTATTTTCGAATGCAATGTAATGGCAAGCAGAAGTATTTTTTTGTCCTAATCATAACTATCACTGTAATCGTAGACTTGTATCCAGTCACTGAGTAGACCACAATTGATGCTAATGTCAACAAGTATCATCACTGAGTATAATAATTTTATCTTTGATGAATAAAACATGATATTGCATTACATTTCAACGGCTTTTCTTTCCTTTTCATTATCAACAGGCGACAGGTGTTCAGTGACGTTTACCTTGTCACCAATGCTGACAAGTAAGTAAGACTGTGCCCAAATTACTTTTTCGTGGCGGATACCATAACACAAACATCATTGGAGTACCAAAGTGAATACGTCATGCGCACAAAACGTGTGTTAAAAGACATTAGCGGGTGATTTAGCCCGTGAACCAACACACATGCGTACTCCATTCGTTTGCACTATACTTTCTGGTTCTAAATGAGGGGTCCGCTCATAAGTCCGACGCCTCATAGGTCCGACGCCTCATAAGTCCGACAAAATCGCATCCACTAACCAAATAAAGGCCCATAAGTCCGACGCCTTATAGGTCCGACGCCTCATGAGTCCGACGCTTCATAGATCCGACGCCTCATAGCTCCGACGCCTCATAAGTCCGACAAATTAAACGCCTCGTTTTTCCGTTGTCGGACTTATGAGGCGTTGGACTTATGAGGCATCGGACCTATGAGGCGGAATAAATAAATTTTATGCCTCATAAGTCCAACACCTCTTAAGTCCGAAATTTCGGACTTGTGAGGCGTCGGACCTATGAGGCGTCGGACTTATGATACGGCCCCCTAAATGACGTCACACTTTGGTAGTCCATAGGAAGCCTTAGCCAAGAATTTTGGTGCAGCATACCTCATTCTCTTTGAGACTTTCTGAGACTGCCGTATAGACCCTTTGCATGGCCGCCATCTTGGTGGTGCATTGCTTTTGATCCACAAGGTTACATGAAGAGACCTCTTGTACATTTCAATTGTTACTGAATTTAAATAACAAAAAGCACATCCAGGAAGGCTGCTGTGTGCAAAGGATCTATGACACAATTAACTGTGGTATATGTAACAATTGTTGACTGATCTTATGTGGGATATGTTGTTGTAACACGAAAGGGCTGCTAGTATGAGTCCCAAGGGGTTAAAAAGTGCATATCCCACATCACAGCAGTCAACAATTGTTTTGTTATATCGTACCAATAAGTTCAAATGATAAATGGTTGTAATGGTAAGAAATACATGAAACAGAAGCGGCGGAACGGGTTTGAAACTGGGGGGGGGGGCATCACCCAAAAGGGGCACTTGCTCAACATTTTTTTTTTTTTGCACATCCGTGCTGAAAGGTCGACACATGTTTTTCAACGGGGGGGGGGGGGGGGGGGGGGGGGGGGGCCTGCGTAGTTCCATCTGCCAACATAGGGGGCGCTCTTCAAAACCGATGATTATATGCTAACTATGCATTATGTGCCCATTTTCAGGGCGTATTCAATGTATGGGTTTTGGGGCTTGGTTTTCATATACCTCGTTTATATCAAAACTATCTTTACCATTATTGGGAAATGGGTAGTCCGAAGAAATAGTAAGCTACTTTAAAGGAATTTTTCTTTTATCTCAAGGGGGCACTTTTATGCTCGAGGGGGGCACATTTATGGCCACAAAAGGGGCACTTGGGAAAATCTGGGGGGGCAAATGCCCCCCCCCCCCCCCCCCCCCCCCCCCCCCCCCCCCCCCCCCCCCCCCCATTAAACGTATCCGTTTGCATGCGAAACCTCTCTAATGTTGGAATATGCCGTACTAGGTGTGGTTCCCAGTAAATCATGCTAGGGAGTTAGGGTTCATAGGGAGTTAAAATTCTTTGTCTGTTTTACTTTTTGGACATATCGTTGACTCTTGTGATGTGGAATATGTCGGTTTTGGAGGATATTCCAGGATGAGGTTGCATCCTAGCAAAAATGCCCAGAGAGTTACTAGTGGGTGTCTATGCCCCCCCCCCCTTCCACTAGTGCTGTCACAGCCCCTTGGGTGGATAGATGCCTACAAGACAAGTGACCTCATCCCCAGTATATATGTGTATATTACATACAGGGTTTAGTTTCTGGGAATGATGGTTGTTTTATTTCATGCATTGCAAACTAGGTACAAGTACTATGAGCGCTGGGCAACAGCGAATGACTTCCCAGTCGATAACATTGTCAATGATGGCTCCACCACTTACGAAAACAGGTACATTTCTTAACAACCTACGGTATTAGTCAATTATTTTGGTGACCCAGCTACCCAATGCCAATACTAGTGGTGGGCGAAATCAGACATTTCAAAATCTGGTTATCCTATTTTTTTTTTTTTAACTGAATAACGGTTATCTGATTTCACTGGAAGTTCCCAACCAACTCACAGTCATATTTTTAAAGAAAGGGAAATGAATTTTAAGAGAAATATGGGACCCATTATACGTAGCACCTTTATAAAGGGTATACAAGGTGCTGCAAGGCATATTGTAGCCACTGCCAGAAACACCGGGGCAATTAGCGATATTGTTACTGGTTCTTTAACGTGCATTTCACACCACATGGGAACTACGGCTTTACGTCCCATCCGAAGGACCAAGCAATAATGGTAAAGTACCTTGCTGAAGAGCACAAGGACAATGTTCCCCGTCAGGATTCGAACCCGTGTATCACGGAACACGAGTCGAACACATTAACCATTGATCACCTCTTCTGATTTGATTCTTTCAGACTGGGTTCTGTGGGCGATTTTGATCTGGTGCTCAGGAACAAGAAAATCAATGACAGTGTGATGGTGGTAGGTGTCAAATTTCAATTTTTTATTTTTTTTTTTGGGGGGGGGCATCAATGACAATTAAAAACAATTAACCCCCTAACGCCGGTATTGCTCTGCCATGAACCCAATTTCACGGCGCTGCTAAGCACACAAATTTGCTTAGCACAAAAAGTCTGGCTTATAAAAGCTGCTACCAGCCAAATCTCTATTTTGGTTTTTTTGCTAAGCAAAAAACAGCTGAACACTAGTCACGAGCATTATACATCACATGGAGTTTGTGGCTGGTAACCTGCTTTTACAAGCCAGACTTTTTTGTGCTAAGCAAATTTTTGTGCTTAGCAGTGCCTTGAATTGGCCCATGGACAGTTGCACTGTGAGTGGAATGTGTACGCACAGCAGGCGCGGTTCTACGGGGGGGGGGGGGGGGGGGGGGGGGGGGGGGGGGGGGGGGGCTAGGAGGGGGCTGTAGCCCCCCCCCCCCCCAAATTTTGTCTAGCCCCCCAAAATAAATTCCGTACAAAAAAAATTGCATTAGCAAAAAGAAGGATTGTGATGTACATGCGAACGGTCTCCCCCCACCTATTGATTTTCGGAGGCCTAAGTGTCTGGAAAAAATTTCAGCACGCCTCCCTGAAAAAAATTCTGGATCCACCGTGCTAGCCCCCCCCCCCCCCCAAATATTGGTTCTAGAACCGCGCCTGACGCACAGGCGTTCAGCCATTGTCTATGAATGAATGCGGCTGTGCAGCAGGAATGCGGCTATCATGAGTACCCCCTCACCGGCAAAGAAAGTACAGTTGGAGGCGACCGACTGACGCCATCTTGCCTGACTGCAATTTTGCCGCCACGCGCGGCCGTACCACTGTGTGTACATAGTACAAATCCCCTGGTGTACGTGTGTCACACAAAAGGCACAGTGCGCGTCAACTGAAATGTCCCGCCCACAGGACGTCGTTGCTAGGTAAAAGGGCGCCCTCTTTTGTCGGCGCACGGAGCCCATAGCAATATCATCTGAAATTGCAAACAATCTGTTGCAACCTTTCTTTGGATGGATGAGAAGCCAGGAAGATTTTATGTAATTGTTAAAACTAAGAATAAAATGTTGGTATTTGTTCTTCAGGTTGCCGGGGACATGCTTTTTCAAGATCACAACTTTGACATTACCCAAGTGGTGGACTACTTCAAGCGAAAGGTATGAATACATTTTGTTTTTGTTTTTCCATCTGGCTTGCTGTCATTTTGAAGAAATTTAAAAACTGCATGTGATTTCTAATGACCAGTCAATTGACTGATTTTTGGAAAATTAACCCTCCTATGTATTTACTAGCATACATTCTGTGCAAAGTTGTTGTTTCAATCAAAACAAATCAAGTGACTGTTGTTAACAGTTCAGAGCTCCCGGCCTACATGAAAATAGGATTGACTGGCCCTGACTGTTAATGTTACTTGAAACAGCTGTGCTTTGACTGTAGGCGATTGATATGCCAGCTGTGCCTATACCACTTGAAATATAATCTGATGGTGTCTAGCCTGTGTATAAGGTGTGGCAAGGGAGAAAATTGATGTTTGTTAATGCCTATTTATGCAGCAGGAGAGTTACATGTTATAGAAAAAAATTTGTTTCTCGATCAAAAAGTTGTTAATGGTTTTCAGTGTTTTCTGGAAAATTGTACTATTCACTGAGCTGAAACTTCAACAGGCTACCGTAGGTTGTGAACATTGTTCTTTAAATTTTGGGTGGTGTTTGTTATTGAAAACAAACAAAATGCATGAACTGATGAAAAGCAAATGATCGTTTTTGCCTTTTTAATAATGAGCAGTAGCTTGAGTTTGAACCCAGAGGTATCCCATAAAACCCAGTGAACCTAGAGTTTATACCACCTGTTTTAAAGGGAATAAACAACATTTGCAAACATCGAAAAATAAAACTACCAAGTTTTTACGAAATTCCTTATTAGGATGTTGATAAATGACAGTCTAAAGCATTTTGTAAAATTTTGGCACCTGGTGTGAAGTCATTTTCAAGAAAATTGTATTTTTGTATACTTTTCCAACGGTGGTCGGCCGACCACCATTGGAAAAACCTAACTATTTTTCAACTACTGCTCCAAATTTATCCTTTTTTTAGTCCAAATTTTGTTTGCTATTGGTTACACATGTTCATGAACGGGTGCAGGCCAGCTAGGCTGGTTCCCTTACCTTACAATTTTCCGACATCTATAAATTGATCCATTTTATCTTTAGTGGAGTCAGGGAACCAGACTACTTCAACAATTTTTGTTTTTATTGGTTTTTCAAGTATTTTCAAACACAAAACTTCAAGCATGTAAGTGTAACAATATTTGATCTATTATACTAACCCCTCAAATAGTTCATTTCTGAAAATTACAGCAAAAGCCAATAATGTACATTCCCTTTAATTTCAGGGGAGAATTTCACTGACCAGACCAAATGTAATTAACCCCTACCCTGCTGAATCCAACAGGATCCAACTATTGCATATTCCCAATGGAGCCTGTTGGATTGAGCAGTAAACCCCCTAGTGTACATTCTTGATGCAAAATGTTGGATTCAGCAGGAAACTGAACCGCATTATATTAGCCATGTTCAGTGGCGTAGCAAGGAATTTTTTCAGTGGGGGGGCCGCTGGGGAGCTGTAACATTTCATGGGGGAGGGGGGGGGGGCGTTATGTAGATCAATAATAATTTTTTTAGAAACTCAAAATCTCAGTGGGGGGGGGGGGGGCGACTGGGGGGTGACAAGGTTTCATGGGGGGGGGGCTGGTGCCCCCCCCCCCACGCCCCCCGTGGCTACAACTGGCCATGTTGGACTCCGTTGGACTTAGCAGACAACTGAAAATAAGGCGCAGTGGTTGGACTCTGCTGGTTTTAGCAGGGTAGTGCCTGAGGAACTTGCTCAGCTGCCTTTTTTTCGTCGCGTCAGTGCAACAAGGTCGTATCTCCTAAAATGGCATGAATGATGCAAAACGCGAGGTTTAGAATGTCAAAAGGTCGTATCTCGCTTAAAATAACCCGGATGTACACGCAAAGTCAATGGACCAACAAGATACGACCTTGTTGCACGGAGCATATTCACGCGAGATGCGACTTTGTTGCAGAATGGAGTTACGACCTTGTTGCACTGACGCCGTGATTGTATTTTGCTTTATCATTTTAGCAAGGGGAGCTTGCCATTTGTTATGAGATGGAACCAACAGAACTCTCACGCAGTCGTGGCATCGTGGATGTGTGTCCTGTGACAAACAGGTAGTCCTTAATTGAAACATTTTCCTCACAATTGTAACATAACTTGACAGAGGTCAAAATGAGGGTTGGCGGGTGTTGGGAAAGAGAATACAATTCTCCATTCGATACTGTGTTGCACTTCAAACAAATATTCCATTTATCAAATACTTTAGATTTTGTTGAAATGTTTTGAGTTTTGTAGTTGTGAAATGAAAGATGCCAATTACTTTTTCTTAATACTTTTATTCCCCAATTTATATATTTCCTTAAAATATCCGGCCAATTCAAAAAGAAAAACAAATCACCCAATTCGGTTTTTTTTTTCTATTTTTTAAATTCTTTTCCACCTTGCCTGTGTCGAATTCTGTTTTGCCAGATCGCCTCATAAATGGTATATCTGCGCACTGTTTTTCCGAAGGATTAAGCAATAATGGTTAAGTGCCTTGCTTAAGGGCACAGGTGTCCACCCGGCGGCCTCAAACCCACGCCACTGTTGTCTCTGAAACACCAGAGTCCGGTGCTCTTAAAGCCAGAGTCCATCATTTGTAGCTATCCAAAAAGTAACTGGTGTAATTATTGTTGAAAAACATACTTGGTTGAAAGATAGTAAGGGGACTAAACTCCCTGTGAAAATATTCTTTCTGGCAAGCTGTCATTTTGGAAAAATCAACGAAAGATGGCCTTTCCAATGGTACTTCTTAAGAGCACTATTAGGAATTTCTGTTAGTAGTGCTTTATTTTTTATTCGACGAATCGTGTGTAGCGTTGACATGACGTGCACGTGGTTGCTATAATTGTCAGATCAGTGCTTGACATCCCTTAGATGCAGTCAGCTCAGTAAGAACGCGTCTGGGGTGCTGATTTCAGGCCCAATTCAAAACGGGATTCAGCAACTTTCGAATTGAAATCGAGATCCTAGAATGTTTTTCTTGAAATATACAGCTAAAGCTGAGCTGAAATTTCATCAGGTTAATTGTTCGGCACCCTTCTTTAGATTTTCAGCACTTTTGCTGCTTCAAAAGAACAAAATGCACAAATTTCAAATGATGGACTATACTACCTCACGGTAACCGCTATAGGCCATGACACTCCATGTTAAACCTATATGGAGTCAAGGGCGGATCCAGGGGGGGGGGGCCAAAGGGGGCCATGGCCCCCCAAAAATGAAATCAATTTTTTTGTTTTTATGTGACATCGCAATAAAGGCAGGCAATGAGTACACCACAGTCTTTTCCTCAAAAAAACATTGGTTAAAGTGGTCAGAAATTGCCTCAGATCGCACCACAGAGCATCTAAAATCCAAAATTTTTTTCGGGGCCCTTAAGCGGGCCCTGAACCCCATGTCGTATTTTTTTGGACCCACTTTTTTGGGGGACCAAATTTTTTTTTGGCCCCCCCCCCCCAAAATTGTGTTCTGGATCCGCCCTTGTATGGAGTCAAAAGAGGGTTGGATGGAAGGTGTAAAATCGTTTTTACCGGTATAACATTTGAAATAGCGCAATCAGCTTGACTTTGTTATTAACTTTATATCACAGCACATCACGACACTCTGTCCTCTCCATTTCATGGCACAGGATAACTTGTTTCACAGAGAAACCAAACCATGATGAGGCAAGCAATGTCTCGCTTGGCAAGCGTCATCTGGCCAGTTTACCTGTTTCATTTGCGTTCATTTTCTTCTTGACCTGTACTGCATTCATGTTGGCAACCTTTTTCAGTACTTGTTTGTCATCCATGTTTTCCCTGGTGTTTGCAGCCATTGTTGCTTGGGCATGAAGTGCCCTCTATTTATTTTCCTTGCTACTTGGTGGTTGAAATTTGTCTTATACAGGCATGCAACTTTTCCTCGGATCAGCTGATTTCCTCTTTATTCATTTCCCATGTGTGCCATTGAAAACAGAAAAACACTGTACAAAGTCTTGGAAAGATGTGAATTTCCTCTTTTTTGTGACTTCCCAGTTGCATGCCTGCTTATAGCACAGGGTGTTTTTGGATGATTTTGACCAAAACTGCACTCACTTGTTGATCACATTTAGTTTGATCATCACTCTATACACCAATTTTGGAAATTGTGTGGGAAAAGCAAACCTGCTTCTATGAAAAAAGCTTCACATTTACGCATGCCTCATCGCACATGAATAGCACTTTATAGAACCTACAAGCAATTGCTGGGCTAGCTTGAGAAAAAGCAATTAGTCAAAGCAAAAGGTTATTTATACGTTTTTAAGCAATAGCTTTTGCTTCAGCTTCTGCTTGATGAACTTTTGCTTTTGCATGGTGCCTCTGCTTATTAGCAATTACTAGTTTTTATGAATTCGGCCCATTATCTAGTGGCGTGGAACTGTGAGCGAGGGAACGGATATTCATTTACGCGCCCAGCATGAATTATGTCCATTCCATTCCCAGAGAGAAGACCAATGAAAGCTCACCTGCTCCACTGTGGGAGCATTCATTATTAGGCCAAAAAAAAATAAATATTTGGTCTCTGGTCAGACCAAAGTTCCGGAATTGACGCGGGGACGCGGCTTTTTTTTTTGGGGGGGGGCTTTTTTTTTTTTTTTCAAGCTTGGTTGTACAGACAAGGTGGGGTACTATTTTGCTTTTTTGGTGTCCTCATGTACATTGGTGTCCTCCATAATTTGCCTTGGTGCTCTCGATCATTTGCCTTGGTGCAATTTCCCATTCCTCAGTGCTCTTTGGTAAAAAAAAATACAGGAGGTGCGGCAATAGAGGGCGATGTTGGAGCTACCGCGGAACATTTTGGGAGAAAAAAAAGATTGACGCGCATGATTAAAATCGACGCGCGTGCTGACCAGAGACCGACTTATTTTTTTTTTGGCCTTAGAGAGGGATATCTTTTTCTAGATCAGTGTAAATTTTGTTTTATGCGTTTTTTTCCCTATTGATTCCCTTACAATGTTAAACTAGAGGGTATAATAATAAAATAATAAGTAAAGTCATATGTCGAAAACTGTCTTTCGAAAAGAAACAATAATAAAACGAAGGACTAAACTGCAGAAGAGTATGTTTTCTACCTGACAATGCTCCATGTTCTGTTCCACCACATAAATATTCACATTTGATTCTAAACCAATCAGACTTCCACGTCCAAATCTGGTAGCAAGTCCAATGGGTTGGGTACAAAACTGAGAACAAATTTTTCAAGTTAGTTATTGAAGTCCATCGAGGATGCAAAACCGTTCCCGTGTGTTGGGGCCTATTTTTGTACGCACATATATGCGACTTTCTTGTGCGACAGTGTCGTACGTTTTTGTAAATATTAGCTCAAAACAATGAGCATGTTTACACTGAGTTTGCGCACAGTTTCTTTTTAAATCAAATTCGCTGCATGCGTTTTCCATCTGGAACCTGTGTATCCCCTACGAAACACTCTTATAAGAATCTTATAAGAATGTTGTAAGAATCTTATAAGCATCTGAGAACCTTCTTATAAGAATATTATAAGAGTCTGATAAAGAATCTTATAAGATTCTTACAAGTATTTTATATGAAAATTAGTAAGATCTTATAAGATTCCTATATGATTCTTATAAGATTCTTATAAGAGTATTTTGTAGTATTTTATATGCAAATTAGTAAGGTCATATAAGATTCTTATAAGAATCCCAGCAAGGCCTACAAAATACTCTGATAAGAATCTGATAAGAATCCTATAACAATCTTATAAGAAAAGTCACAGAATCTTATAAAAATCTTTTTAAGATTTTTAAAATCTTACAAGATTGTTAAACATCTTATAAATCTTAAAAATATTGTAATACTTTTCTTAGACCTACATCATAAATAGTCATGCTCCTTAGTAAACGTCTATGAAAACCCATGACTAACAATGAGCTTGTCGGTTGTAAAAGATATGGTGGAAAGAATCGTGCGAAATATTGCGTATTTGTTAACACATGTATGCATATGAAACAATTTGAGTAAAAAAAGTCGTTGCGACAAAATCGCGTACGTGTATGTGTACATTGGCCATTTGTGCCCAACCTTGCTCCCAAGGTGTCAAGCAGTACACTCCCACCATTACCTGGTCTCTCACCCTGGTATTGCATCATTTGCATGTTCAAAATTTTTGGATACGTATGCAAATTAGGAATGGCCTGCTGCCTGCCTATGCTTTACGTTAGCGTTTTTTGTATGCGGTGTCTGGGGTAAAAATTAAACCAATTCGTCGCGGCGTGAGTTAATCTTTCTAATGGCTTGCAAGGTTATGATTAAAATGTTCACGTCTATTAATTTTGGTGTCATCATTATCATATTAAAACTTTCCTTACCATGGAAGGACACGCTGCATGCTTGCACTGGTTTATGGCGCGTTAGAGTGCGAAGTACAAACGACTCTTTTATTCTGAATGAGCACAAAGCCATACGCCTTTGCGCGATCGTCAGGCGTCATCAGGTGTACGTGCTTCTAGCAGCATTCCAAGTTAGGGCCTGAAAACTCGGAAAGAATACAGTACTTTTAACGGTACACTCTAATCTTGTTAATCCCTCTGTCAACAAACTGGCCCCTGTTATCCAATACTGCTGCTAATCCCCTGCACTTGTCAATATCAGCTGTGTGACAGCACATGTGGCTTTATTACACTAGGTGTTAGGGATTATAAAGCCACTGTTTGGACAAAGGATTAAGATAGATTAGAGGGCTGGCCAGTTTACAGTTAGATTGACTGTTTTCTCTCAGAATAAGCCATTTGCGTGTTAAATTTGAATAAAATCTGGAACGCTGACTTAATACAATGCTTTGCACGTTTTAACCTAGCATTCTCCCGACCAAAGAGACTGTTACTATGTCACGTGATTCGGGGCACGCCTTATGCTAGCAACCCCCAGCTCCGGCATGGTCTGGTGTCTTTGTGCCATTCTCACCCATTGTGAACGATGTATTGGTGCTGAGCGTCTCTTACGTAACTATGCAAGAGCTTGCCCCGAATCATGTGATTAGCAACAGTGTCTTTGGTCTGGAGAATTCACAGTTAAAATGTGCCAAGCATTCTGAGCAAGTCATTGTACCAGACGTTTTTCAAATGTAAATCCCAAAGGGTATAGGTTACACGCAAATGGCTTATTGTTTCTAGTGAAGGTTACTCGCAATGCTCGTTACAACCCCAATTTTCTCTGTTTGACAACACAGGATTACTCATTTCACGGAGAAGCCGAACCATGATGAGGCAATGTCGCGTTTGGCAAGCGTCGTCTTCTACTGCTTCCGAAAGCAGACCCTGCCGACGATCACATCCTACCTCAACGATCATCCTAATGTCGTCGAGAGAAACTTTGGAATGTACATGGTATAATACAATTTGAATGGTTACAGGTTTGAACCCTGCTTGGTCAAAATTCATTTAAACGGGAGTGGCTTAATTGTAAACAGATTATTCATTGAGGTCGACATCTTGATTTCAAGTCTATAGCATCAGGCTTTATAATTGTAAAGCACAAGTGCTGTAATTGAAGGTTACAGGTTCGAAACCCACTTGGTCAAAATGAACAATTTTTGTTCGTAGACGGGTGTGTCTTGTCAATGAAATATGCATTATGGTCTGTGTCTATATTTCAAGTGTAATAATGGTAAAGCACTAGTCAGTAAAAGTTACATGTTCAACCCCCGCTTGGTCCATTAATTTGCAGTTTTTGTCCATAAACTGGAATGGCATGTTAACAAATCATGCATTTAGGTACACTTCTTGATTTCAAGTCTAGCATCATATTTGATGGCAAAGTGCTAGTGCAAGAATATCAGTGGTTACAGGTTCGAACCCCACTTGGTCAAAATTCACAATTTGTGTCCATTAACAGGAGTGGCTTGTAAGGAAGTCTGACATTAAGGTTTTCCTCTTGATTTAAAGTCTAGTATCGGGTTTAATGGTAAAAGCACTAGTACAGCAATTGAATGTTACAGGTTCGAACCCCACTTGGTCAAAATTCACAATTTCTGTCCATAAACAGGAGTGGCTTGAAAGTGTAAACAAATCATGCATTGAGGTCGACATCTTGATTTCAAGTCTAGCATCAGGTTTGATGGCAAAGTGCTAGTGCCGTAATATGAGTGGTTACAGGTTCAAACCCCACTGGTCAAAATTCACAATTCTGTCCATAAACAAGAGTGGCTTGTCAGCAGGTCTGTCATTGAGGTCTGCCTCTTGATTTCAAGTCTAGTATCGGGTTTGATGGTAAAGCGCTAGTGCAGTAATATGAGTGGTTACAGGTTCAACCCCACTTGGTCAAAATTCACAATTCTGTCCATAAACAAGAGTGGCTTGTCAGCGAGTCTGTCATTTGGGTCTGCCTCTTGATTTCAAGTCTAGTATCGGGTTTAATGGTAAAAGCACTAGTACAGCAATTGAATGTTACAGGTTCGAACCCCACTTGGTCAAAATTCACAATTTCTGTCCATAAACAGGAGTGGCTTTAAAGTGTAAACAAATCATGCATTGAGGTCAACATCTTGATTTCAAGTCTAGTATCGGGTTTGATGGTAAAGCGTTAGTGCAGTAATATGAGTGGTTACAGGTTCAACCCCACTTGGTCAAAATTCACAATTCTGTCCATAAACAAGAGTGGCTTGTCAGCGAGTCTGTCATTGAGGTCTGCCTCTTGATTTCAAGTCTAGTATCATAATGGTAAAGCACTAGTGCAGTAATTTAAGGTTACAGGTTCGAACCCGACTTGGTCAAAATTCACAATTTCTGTCCATAAACAGGAGTGGCTTAAGTGTAAACAAATCATGCATTGAGGTCAACATCTTGATTTCAAGTCTAGTATCGGGTTTGATGGTAAAGCGCTAGTGCCGTAATATGAGTGGTTACAGGTTCGAACTCCACTTGGTCAAAATTCACACTCTGTATCTGTCCATAAACAAGAGTGGCTTGTAAGGAAATCTGACATTAAGGTTTGCCTCTTGATTTCAAGTCCAGCATTGAGTTTTATGGTAAAGCACAAGTACAGTAATTGAATGTTACAGGTTCGAACCCGGCTTGGTCAAAATTCACAATTTGTGTCTATTAACAGGAGTGGCTTGTCAACAAGTCTGGCATCGAGGTCTATGGCATGAAGCTCCCCACTGGCTTTCAACTCATCGGCCAAGTTGGTCTACACGAATACAAAAAGTGGCTGGAATACTTCTCGGACAAACAACTCCAGCAAGGGGTTAAAGAAGCCTTCACTGCCACGGCATATGCAAGGTTTGTCATGACTTCAAACCAGCAACCTCTGAAATGCAATACAAGTGCTCTACCCACTGAATTTTATGCACATTTCCAACCTGCAATTTTTTGGGCTATGCTGCAAATCTGGGAAAAAGCAGTTGAAGCAGTCTCACAGTCTTACTAAAGGGTGGTGTTTCCCCCGACTAAACTAACAAAATTGAAAACCCTACGCTTAGAAAAGAAGGCACATCATTCTCCAAAGCAAAGAGCTGTACATTGAAAATATGTATCATTTTAATCTCCCCACTCTTACAGAACTGTTTTCCTGAACTTGGTCTTCTGCCGGATAAACTTGTACAACCCTGAATAAAAATCTCAGATTCCATCATCAATCAATTCAATTCACGATTTCCAGGGGGCCGTGTCATAAGTCCGACGCCTCATAGGTCCGACGCCTCATAAGTCCGAAATTTCGGACTTATGAGGCGTCGGACTTACGAGGCATAAAATTTATTTATTCCGCCTCATAGGTCCGACGCCTCATTAGTCCGACGCCTCATAAGTCCGACAACGGAAAAACGAGGCATCGGAGCTATGAGGCGACGGAGCTATGAGGCGTCGGACTTATGGGCCTTTATTTGGTTAGGGGATACGATTTTGTCGGACTTATGAGGCGTCGGACCAATGAGGCGTCGGACTTATGAGCGGACCCCATTTCCAGTTAGATGAATAAAAAGCATTGCATTGTTTTGAAAATATGCTTGGAATTGGCTTTTTCGTTTGTTTCCTAGATTGGGTTTAATGGGTAACCCCTCGGATGGTTTCCATGGCAAAACCATATCTCTCTCCATCGCCAACTTCTGGGCGGAAGTCACCATCAAGGAAAGCGAGCGACTGGTGAGTTAGAATCTTTTCGGTTTGCGGTAACACCACGTGGTAATAACTCCGGGAAAAATGTTGCAACCTGACGTCACTCTTTTTCTTCATATTTTCTGTGGAAATTTTCATTAGGCCAAAAAAGAAAAGTTCCCCGGTTTCTGGTATGTGCACGTCGCCGTAGCCATGCGCGTCGGCAAAATGAAAAAGTTTTTTTTTCAATGTAAGATGATGTCTCAAAACTCACTGGTTTGACTGGAATCCCGCTGCTGCACAATTTTAACATGTTTTTAGATGGGTTATGATCAAGAATAAGCTATATGTGGCCTCTCTGGACTTTGCAGTCATCAACCGACATTTGAAGCAAAAAAAAACAGGTAAAAAAAAAAAAGCCGCGTCGCCGCACCTCTTTTTGGGCAAGCTCCATACCAGAATCCGGCGCCTTTTTTTTTTGGCCTTAGCAACAGCTTGACTCACCATAAACTGATACCTTCATTGTGGGAAAATTGCGGGGAAGTCGCTAAGAATCCTGCAACTTATACCCAAAACAATGCCCCGAAACGTGTCAGGAACTTGTCTCGGATATGAATTGAGACAGGCCCTAATTACTACTTCTGTCTTGTAGATATTGGTTCCGCATCCGTTGAATGACCCTACAGAGTTTGGTAGCCTGGGAGACCTCCATGGTATCAGTAGAAAGGAAGGCTACTTTGGAGGATTGAGGCTTCTTCAGGCTACCTGCAAGAAGTTCTATCAGTACTGCTCAGAGCAAGGGTACGTAATATCAAATGTCTCTTCCTATTTTTTGACAATCACCAATGGGTAGCTAGTGTACATGTATTTAACTCTGAACACTATACAATTGTTGCCTGTGGCAGGGTCCATGGTTTTTTGTATACACCCGAGGGATCAAATAGCACTGGAGGCAAATTAAAGCCCATGGACCCCGTCACAGCAAGCAACATTTGCTTTGTTATACCACGGTAATAGATTTCTAACGTCTGAAACTGTGGGTCGCTTCGTGTTGCGGTACAGAATTGGAGAACTTTTCGCACATGATTTTCTGTATTTGTCTTCGTGCTGATGCTGTCCCTTTCAAAAATCATCAGCAACCATGACTGTGCTCAAACTCATATATGTGGCGTTACAAAGGATACAATTTGACAGATCAAAGCTCCAACAAAAATGGCGTGGCACTTCATGTAGCTGTTTCGGTGCTGTATCACATAAACTTTGAACGCACTTGCAGTACACAATTTGTTCAGACAAATGTTTGAAATGGTCATTAGCAAATGTTTGATATCCAACTTTAATCTATCCCCCCTCCCCTTTCCGGCAGTTTCCATACTTAAGCCCGGTTCATACTTCACGCGAAAGCATGTGCGAAGAGAAATTTATGTCGTCAACAATGGTGGACGCGCTTCGAATGTATTGTTGACGTCACAAATTTCGCTTAACTTTCGCGTGAAGTATGAACCAGGCTTTAAGGTTCATCTGTGTTTAAACTTAAAGAGATTTTTTAGGCCCCTCAATTATAGGATCCAATGATCTTCTGCATGTACAATGTAGATCCATTATCTGCTTGATCAACACATACTGTGATTTTTAATATTCTTATAATAATAATAGTAATAATACTAAGTTTTGCCCTTCATGACTTTAAACACTGTACACTCAGGGGTAAGTGGATTTACATATATATAAACAGGGTGAGTCAAAAAGAAATTGACCGAATTAGACAAAATATTCCAAAAAATATAGGCATAAATTACATGTTTTTATAGTACCTCACAGTGAAAGAGCACAAAATTCAGCTGTCCACCATTGATCATGTACCGTTCTGTGAAATGATGAACCATTAAATAAAATGAAACATGGGCGTTTTCCCACCTCTATGAATGGAGGAGATCTTGCAAAGGAAAATATACCAAACTTGCCATTATATTTCAGGAAAAAAAATTGATTACTTGTTTCTCATATTCAAAGAAGGTGCATACCTATCACTTCCTATGTTCCCCAATATCTATGTTCCTGAATACCGATGTTCCCCCAAAATCCTTACACTAACCCTTACCCTAACCCCTAACCCTAATCCTAAGGATTTCGAGGAACATCAGTATTGGGGAACATAGGTAATGGGGAACATCGGTAATGGGTAGACCCCTATTAAAACACAAAATCTGACTGTAACATACTGTTTCAGTCTTGATTTAAATGATTAAAATCTCATTGTATTGGAATGCCTGTGTGTAATCTGTCATTCCCACTCAGCTTATTAGCTTCCAATGGCATTCCATGGACAGCTATAAAAATGGGTTCTTTTAGTAAAACAGGCATAACCCCTGATAGCATGGATAAATTTCAGTATTTCTTTTTTTTTAAGATGAGTGGAAAAACATGCTCGTTTAATAAGAAATACTTAATTGGTGTTTCAGATGTTATTACTTTTTAAAGATTTTTTGTATGAATTCGGGTCACTTTCTTTTTGACTCACCTTGTAGTCTGCATTCTCCAGAGTTGTAACGAGTCACTGATTTTTGTGACTGAAGTCGAGTCGAGTCATTTTAAAGAAGTGACTCGAGTCGAGTCGAGTCATTTTCAAGAAATGACTCGAGTCGAGTCGAGTCATTAGGTCAAAAGGTCGAGTCGAGTCGAGTCAAGTCAAATATTTAGCTCGAGTCAATTCGAGTCTCGAATATTTGAACACTATATACCAAAATTAATAAAAGGAGGCCATAAGTTTAGCCAGCGTTCGAATCCAAGAGCTTTATAAGAAATCACCCAAAGCCAATGATGAACAGTGAATAAGAAAATGTGTTTAACAATCTGGTTCCTGGATATTATTTTGTGTCTTCTAGAACCATGAGGTGGGAGTCTGTGACATGTTGTATATTTATACATGACTGCTATTCGCAAAGCGAAGTGAGCATAACTTTGCACCGTAAGTCATTGCAAATACTTTTCGCAAAGTTGTGCTTTTATTTTTTGGGACTCGAGTCTTATTAGCCTTAGCTCGCGTCGAGTCAAGTCTTCTAATGAGGGACTCGAGTCCAGTCGAGTCAGTTGCTCGCAGTGACTCAAGTCGAGTCATTTACCCTTAGGGACTCGAGTCGAGTCGAGTCGGACTCGAGTCGAGTCATTGACTTGAGTCATTACAACTCTGGCATTCTCACACTTCAATAAATAATTAAAGCCACATGTATAACCGAAGTGCTGTCTGAGTCTGCAGTGCAACAGATTATATTAATACTTTACCGTTTTCAATTATAACTTTGTTTTAGGATTGCTTTGCCGAAGAGAAATTTTACACTGAAATACGACACCAATATACCAAGACAGGTGGTGAGTTTATATTGAAGTTACATGTTCAGATGGGACTTAAGGTTTGCATGGTGGACATGATCAATGAATGAGAGGTTTGTGGTAACAATAATGTGAATGATATCTCCTGATGACGAACAGAGCATAAACAAGACGCGCAAAATCGGTAACTCACATTACATTTTCGTAACGTGAGTAACCGATTTTGTGCGTCTTGTTTATTATACATAACATATTTTTCTGGATGTCATCTTTGGTGCTTAGGTAGGTCTAGGTCTACTCTATCTACCATGGGGATAACAGTTATTAAACCTTTTCAGTAAGGTAATTACAGCCCAAGGAAATCAAAAATGTAATGTGAGTAACTGTGGAATTGCCCATCTGGCTTTCGTTTTTTTTGTATTTTGTGATTTGTTTTTATTGTTTGTTTGTTTGTTTGTTTGTTTTTATGGCAAATAAACAATAATTCATGGAAGTTACACATTTTTGAAACTATTTGCTGGATTCCTATATTGCAGAGATATATTTCAATTGTTTCAACCTTACTGTTTAATGAAATATGCTTGTATTATTATTATTATTATTATTGTAAAAGAAATTTTTTAAAGATTTTAGTTAATTTAGTAATTATTGTAAGCACCTTGAGTGTCAGTTTTATGGATTTCAAGTTGGTGCTATATAGGATTATTATTATTATTTTGCAGGGTCTTGCTGGAAGCAGTGCCATCGTCACGGCAACACTGAAATGTCTCATGCACTTCTTTGATCTCACAAATAGTGTAAGTGCAATTCAGTTGCTTAATTGTTGCATATTCCTTTTTAAAATTAAACTCTTGAAGTTACCTGTACCTCTAACTGGGAAAATTTTCATACCATCTCCTGAGACAACAGAGTGCAATAGTCTCTTCAGTCCACATTGAAGGCTTATACTACATTCACTTTTCATGTAAATGCCTCGGTACCAAACTCTGACTAGGTGCGGCAATGCGTCCCCCCCCCCCTACTTTTTTCCCCTCAAATGTTGGCTGATGGTGCAGATAACGCTTTGATCCCCTTAAAACTAATTAATCATTGGGATATACTGAACTCCTTTTGACCACTACTAGAAACAAGTTACTCATGTCATAGTTTTTCTTCCTGATATTTTTTTTTTTTCCCCGCACAGGATATTCCACAGCCAATGCAGCCACAGTTCATCCTGAACGTTGAGGTGGATGAACTTTTCATCAATGCTGGACTGCAAGACAGAGTTATACAGGTATTGTCTTAAATTATTCAATATTTAGGATATATGTGACATATGTGAATTGTACATGTTGTTGAAACAATATCAGTAGGGCTGAGTCAGTTTGAATAATTCAATATTTAAATATTTACTTTTGTCAATGTTGCCAAAGGCTTAACCCTAACTGCCCCCAATGCTACAAAATACTACTGAGGAGTAACCTGTAGTATGAATTTCTTTCCATACAAGTGTGCACAGCACATGTAGTATTCTGTGGTATTTGGTACTTGACCCCCAAACAGCCCTTTAAGGGTTAGGGTTAAAGTTATGTGTCAGTTATGTTTAAATCATATTTTTCGATCAAATGTTCAAATATTTCTTGACACTGGCAGGATAATTTCTTAGGTCAACTAAACTGCAAGTTAAAATCATTTAAATACCTTTTCACTTAACGAAGCAGTGAATTAATTAATAGTACCGCAAACAGAAGAATACCGGTCCAAAATTCAAAATTTGTTTTAAAAAGGTTGGTATATGTTCTTTGTTATTGTTTATAACTGCGTTTTATATTGAAATCTACATTTTAGTTTTTGATCAAATATTTGTATATTTTGCTCCGTCTTACATGTACATGTATATACAAATAATTAATATAATATTTTAAGATGGAATTTTGCGTCGGGGTGATATAAATCAAATTAGGTTTTGCCTTTCACCGACATTTTTTTTTTTTAAACACTGTATACTCAAGTGTGTTACCTCCCGAGTGAAAGTTGGAAAAAAATCGCTCGGGTGGGACCTAATTTGATTTATATCACCCCGACGCAAAATTCCATCTTATAATAGTTTATGCGGTACCCGCTGCTATATGTACATCAGATTCGAACCGGCCAACCGATCCCGTTAGCTCGGTGGTCGAGTGGTAAGACATCTGCACTAGAAAGCAGGAGGTCATGGGTTCAAGTCCCACCCGAGTGATTTTTTCCAACTTTCGCTCGGGGAGGTAACACACTGAGTATACAGTGTTTAAAAAACGTCGGTGAAGGGCAAAACCTAATTTGAATTATTATAATAATCACAAATCTTTTAGGGATAATATATAGATATTTTGCATTTTTTATCCATAATGAGCTAATGCAAGGAATTATGAAAGGACTAGACTTACTTAGCGCTGTGCAAAGAATGTCATTACTTGGCTTGAAATAAGTCAAGTATTCGTACATTGACATTAAGGTTAAAAAGAGTCTTGAATATCATATATGTATTGATATTTATATTCCAGGTTGCTGACTGGTTGCTGACTAGTTGATATGTGACAGATTTAAAAGATTAGAATTAGGGCTAATAATCCTCATGAAAGCTCTCAAACCAAGCATGTATATATGGCTTATTTATACAAAGATAAATCCCAATTCTACTTAATAAAATTGTATTTGGGTACTTAGTGGATGATCCAGTGGGGTCTACTTGATGTTCCCCAATACCGATGTTCCCCACTACCGGTGTTCCCCACTACCTGTGTTCCCCGAAATCCTTAGGATTAGTGCTAGGATGAGGGTTAGGGTTAGGATTATAGGGTAGGGATTTTGGGGAACATCGGTATTTGGGAACATAGGTATGCACCTGATCCAATAATATGTTTTGGGATATTTACTTTATTCGGCACAGCCCCAGGGTTGCTAAGCTTTAAATTGTACCTTGAGAAAGTTTTAGGCAGGTGAGGTAATTTTACCAGCTGGCTACTTGAATCATTCCTTGATCCCACTTTTTGCTCTGAATCAGTTAGTAACTTTCCATGTCAATATTATGTCTAACAATTTTGATATTGGGGTAGATCTACCAAGGTCTTGTCTACATGGATTTCTCACGGGAGGTCATGAGGTCAAAAGGTCACGGTGAATATCAGCCGATGGAGATCGGCCTTGTTCCACCGCTGTGGCTTGCATTTGTTCGCAATCCCAGCGACTCCGGCAAGATTCACAGCAACGCCAGACAGCGATTTGACAGTGGTGAGTTGCACAGTGTAGTAGCGTAGCAAGAAAGTTATTCCAAAAGGTTAAAAGGTAATGGTGATCAGGTGATGGAGGTCAGCCGCGTTTCTGCAGGCACGACTGTTGTGCAGTGGTGCATTGAGAAATTGTAAATCACTGTTGAAAAAAAAATCCAAACACCTGATTCAGACTGGCTTTTGAGAGTCTTGCATGTGTCACGACAGAACCATCGGCATCAAGCAGAAAATACTCATCAGGACACAAAACTGAGAAACTTGTGATTATCGTGGAACAAGCAGCATCTCCACACCAAAAAATCGCAATTGTGCTCACGTCACCCATTACGCGATGACGATTCCTCGGTATAGCCATGATCATGTGACGTCTTCAAAATGGGCGCATGTTGATAACAGTTAAATAATATTCCATATATCCACGTCTGTTCATGGGGCCATTTTAGCCATTTTTGATCTGGTTGCGCACTAGGTCTTAACTTCACACAAGTCGACTGTGATTGATCCCCACCTGTAGGGAACACGTTCTGTCACGGCGCAGAAGTTGAAATTTTTCTACTCTTGCGACTTGATTTGTTTTCCACGCAGACCGATACGGATCACCAATCTGTAACAAGTGGGTCTTGCTTTTTCGGTTTTCAGGTCTGGATTCCAAGCTCGAAACGGATGTTAAAGCCATGGGAACTTAACCCTAACCCTCCAGGCTATGTTTGCTAGAACCCTGCCAAACTAGCAACATGCAACACTTGACTAAGTGACAAGCCTGCTCAATGTAGCAAGATCCATCAGGGAAAAAGTCTCAAGGCCACACTGCCTCAGAGTCTGTGGTCACCGCACGCAGCAGGATACAACTGTGGCATTGCTCAATGGGACTTAGCTCTCATTGTTTCAGAGCTGGCCGTCCATGCACTGGTGTTGGTAGCTGAATGCATCAAGTGCACCAGTTCTTTTCCACCTGATGCACTGTGTTGCATCTGGTAGGGTTAGGTTAAAAAGGATGGGGCAGTCATTTTAGGCCCACTGTTTATTATTTTATCATCATTTTTTTAAATTTCTTGTCTCCAAAACATAAGCAATAGCTCCATGGACAAGTCTGTCATAGATTTTGTGAGAAAATATATTTTTCCCAAGACAGGAAGGATGATGTAATGATTTCATATTTTCTTCTATGAAAGGTGATCCAGAAGTTGTAGGTGGGATGAAGAAATTAGCTGAGCTCACAGATCAAGCCAAGTAAGTTGTGTTTATTTTCTGCTTAAACAAATTAGGTACTCAACTGAAGCAGGATTAAAACTTGCCACTGGGGGAACAATGGATTGGTTTTCTAACAGCTCATGTTAAAGGTACTGTCCATTATTTGTAATTTGTGCATTATGTTCAACAAAAGTGCTCAAAATCTAAAGAAGGGTGCTAACAACTAACCTGAAGAAGTTTCAACTCAGTGAATGCTGTATATTCCGAGAAAACCATGTGCTAGGATCAGATTTCAAATCAAAAGTTGCTGATGTTTTGAATTGGGCCTGAATTCAGCGTCTGAGATACGTTCTCACTGAGCCGATTGCAGCTTTGCGATGTCGCCCACTGAACCGTCGAATTATAGCAACTGTGTGCCCATGTGCGTTGTGTCAACGCTTGTGCGCTCTTCGCCGAATAAAAAAGTAAAACTACTAACGGAAATTTCCAATGATGCGTCTTTAGACGCTTTGACTTATTACCCATTGGCAAGCTGCCTGGTGAAAATGTTTGTTTTCCCAAAACCGAAAGGTAAATTTTCCTGAATTAACTAGTCAGGGAATCAAAATCATTTAAAAGTTACGTTATTGAAGTTAGATAAGATGCTACTTGTATTTTATATTTTGTCAGTTTGCTGACATGAGTGCCTTATGGTACAAATCAGTCTGCCCAGAAGAGAAATAAGTCAAAGTTTGATTAGCTCATATTCTGAATTTATTGCACGATTATAGCTCTACAGAGATGCATCGAGCACTGTGAATTGTGATAGAAGACAATTTCATTGGATAATGCATGATATGTATATACATTGTATTGTAACGTGACCTTTTTGGGTTCTTGTCCTCCGAGTCCGGCGAAACGCAAGAAAAGGGGACAAACACACAGGATTTCCAACTTCTGAAGAAACTCTTATTTATTCAGCACAACAACTCTGTGGTCAACCTGCCACACTGCTACCAGTACCACGACTGCTGATTCCCAGCATAGAAATACACACAGTCTGAACAAATGTATACAATTGTAACAACTTGCAACGACCCCGGCATCTTGCCAAACCTTTCCCGCGTCCCCCAACAAAAGAAACCCACTTAAGCAACCTATTTCCAGAGCCTATTTCCGGAGCGCGCGCTAGCCAGACCCAAAACCAGGTCAGGTGCGCGCCGCCGGAGCCCCTCCGCCGGAGCACTAGTGCTAGAAAGCAATGACAACAAAAATGTGCATAGACTGTCCGTTACAGTATCATGACACATTTGATAAGCTGGAGATGACAAAATTAAATTTAGTAAACCGAACTTCCATTTTTTTTTATCTTGGCTGTATTAACAGAGAAGCATTGGAAGCAGGTGATGTACCAAGACTCTGTGACCTCATGAATGAGAACTTTGACCTCAGGCGGAGTCTCTACGGTGATGATGTGATCGGAGAGTTGAATCTGAGGATGGTGGAACTGGCTAGACAGGTATGAGTAAAAGGCAGAGTCAAGACTTTAGATTGGCCCAGCTGGCCCTTGTTTCACATTTCTGCTGATCTGCTGACAGAATTTCTGCCCACATGAAAGCAAACTGACACTTCTGCCTTGTGATAATGCAAAGGACAAGAAAGACAATAAATGAGGCCACTTATCTACCGTCACGTCAGCAGGTTTTCCAATGGTTGTGATTTTTTTATTAAATACCTGAACCACCAAAGAAGAATTTCAACACATGAATGGACGGTTACACCTCTATGTTCCGACACCCCTATGTTCCGACTGCACATATTCCTATTTCTAACCCTAACCCTAACCCTAATCCTAACCCTAACCGGGAGTAACACAATCTAGGTTGTCGGAACATAGGGGTGTCGGAACATAGAGCAGTCACCGAATGGACATGCAGCCTTTCGCTTAAGATGATTTGAGTTGATAATTTATATTGCTTTTTGACATTATCCTCAAATTTCCATCAAAAAGTGGACAGGTAACTTTTTCCGTCCATTTTTGATGGAAATTTGAGGGTGATTTTAAAAATTATAAAAGAATGACAGAAATGATTAACACATATTACATATTATAAGCGTACATGTCCATTCACATTTCAAAAACCTTTGGGTGGTTTCAGATACTGTAAAAAAAATTGCAACCATTGGAAAAACTGCTAACATGACGGGTGCAAAGTGGTCCCCTATATTGTGTTTCTTGTCATATACTCCCATTAGACAGGATCATATATTGGCATGAAAGTGAATGCCAACACCAATTTGCGACGTCATGGCAAATATTCGCACTGCGAATGCTCTGAAGTTGAATGCATAATCAACTACAGGGAAGTCTGCAGCGAATGTTTCTGGACATCAAGTTCGCTTGCGTCAAGTACGAATCGACCTATAGCAGAGCTACCAACTCTCCATAATTCTGCAGAAAGTTCCCTGAAAATGAACCAATGTTTCCATGTTCTGATGAACACATTTGAAAATGTCCCTGATTATGGAAACGTTTTCCCTATTATGTTGAATGTAATTCTAAAGATGTCCCTGATTGTTGTACAAAATCTCCCTGATTGCAAGATGCATGTTGGCAGCTCTAGAGATACATTCTCCCTGCTACAGTGTACTTCCAGTTTCCCCCGAAAAATAGATTTGTTTTTACAATTGCTATTTGCCCAGCAAAAGAGTTATTCACTTTTAAATGAGATGTTGAACACTAAAAAAAATGAATCAATGTTTAGTTATTGAATATTTCTTTAAAAACATTTGAATTGTTTGCAGCCTGACAATAATTGTCTGGTGCAAGGTGGATGTATTTGTGCACAAAATGATCACCTTTTTCAGAGGGTTGCAGATGCCCAAAATTTTGAAAAAAGTAGCCCTTTGTTAACCCTCCTTTGCAAACATACGTTCTGTGCCAAGTAGTCCTTTCTGTCAAAATCAATCAAATAACTGCTTCCAACAGTTCCCTGCCGACAGCAAGATTGACTGGCGTGACTGTTTATGTAACTCAATACAGCTTTGCTTAGGCTTTGGGTAATTAATAAGCCAGCTGTGCCAAAAACTTGCCTGCTTTGTCTGTTCATGGTCTGTTGACTGAGTTATGACTTGTCACAGTGCTTGGTTGACATATGAGCTGACTGCTGGTGACTAGCCTGTGTTAAAAGTATAGCAGGGGAAGTAAATGTAAATCTTGACTGTCTGTGTGACTGTTTAAATAGCAAGAGGGTTAAAACAAATATACACTTTAAACATATCTGGAGAAAACAAAATATTTTTATGAAGAGCATAGGGCACGCATCTTTACCTTTAAGGATTTTATGTGAATAGCTAGTAAAACTTTTCAGCGAGTGCTTCTTTAATATTGGTTGTATTTGCAAGATTTTGTTGTTAACAGAGCCACAATTTATAAATTGTGAATATTTGACTAAAATTCCATCTTCTGCTTCTTAATGTGCTTGCACATACAGACTCCACCATTTAGACGTATTATTGCTTGTTTTTAATTTGTTGCCTATTTTGTTTCTTGAAGTTCGGTTCATCTTCTAAGTTCCCTGGCAGCGGGGGAGCTGTGATTGGCATTTGTCGGGATCCAGAACAACTGGTAAATATTATGTGAAATGCCATATATTAACTGTGCAATTCCTGCACTATGTAATGTCCATGACAGAGCCTTTAAAGGTTGAGTACATGTACATCATTTGCAGCCATCTAACAGTAACTGACGAAATTATTGTTGAAAAGTACTTGGTTTAAATGCCGTAATGGCACTATACTCCCTGTGATGAAATTATTCTTTCTGGCAACCTGGCTTTGGAGGAAAACATTAAAAGAAGGTAATTTCCAAAGATGTGTCTGAAGACACATTTTTGAGAAAAATTTTCTTTAGTACGTTTTTAATTAGGCAAAGCCGTGAACTGGTGCATGTGAGCATTTATTGACTAATAACGAACATGGTTGTTGGTTCAGTGCGCAACATCACGTAGTTGCAATCGGCTGAATGAGAAAATGTCCCAGACGCTGATTTCGAGTGCAATTTAACACATGACTCGGAAAGTTTTGGATTGAAATCAAGATCCTGAAATATTGTTTTCTGGGAATATACAGCAATCACTGTGCTACTTCATCAGTTTAGTTGTTAAGCACCCTTTTTTTTAGATTTTGAACACTTTTGTTGCTTAAAAAAAAAAAAAATATGCACAAATGACAAATAATGTAAAAAAGTAAGGTAAGTACATGTATTCTACCTTTAAGAGCTCAACGAAGTAAAACTTAAAATTGTTTCCATCTTTCTTTTAAAACAATACAACAGCATATAGACCATTCGGAAAACAGGAATGCAAGATGGAGGAGATTACAGACTGGAGGTTTTGGATCATTTTACTGAATAATTAATTAGATATGGTCTGTTAGCCCAGTTACAGACATTACACTTCCTCTCATAAAGCAGGAATTGTGCACCAGTTAAGAATTCTGGCCATCAATTACATCTTCAATATCTCTGTCCCTTTCAGCCATTTTTAAAGGCAGCATTTCAAGAGGAAGGTTTCGTCTTTTGCCACGTCATTCCAAAGCAGGAATCAGTAGCAGCCACTAACCATCCCCATATCTCAACCACCCCACCTCCTCATGATGACCCCGCCCATCCGCCAAACAACTCTGAGGAGAAGTGGCAAGAGGTTGAAGTTACAGAGGCAGGTGACAAGGCAACCAGTGGAAATGACCAAAACCTGGATTAACTTGGTTAATAACCAGTACAAGTTTAAGGACCATTGGTTAATCAGTATCAGTTTGATTAACCAATGCGAGGTAGATTATCAGGATCATCGGTTAAGTTTTAATCATGCTCCACCATTGGACAACCATGTGCACTTGTCATCAACCAAGTTAATTGGTTGACCAATGCAAGTTTGATCAAGTACAATTGGTTAACGAGTTCAAGTTTGATCAAATACAAGTCGGTTTAACCAGTATTAGTAATATCAAGGATCACTTGTTTACCAGGGCTACTTTGATAAAGGACTTTAGTTAACCAAAGAAAGTTTGGTCAAGCAATATTGGTTAACGTTTGCAAGTTAATTGATTAACCACTGCAAGATTGATCAATATCCAATGCACCATTGGATAACCAGTGCTCTTTTCATCAACCAAGTTAATTGGTTAACCAATGCACGTTTGATCAACTACAATTGGCAAATGCAAGTTTGGTTAAATATTGGTCAACAGGTGCAAGTTAATTGATTAACCAGTTTGAGATTGATCAATGCCCATTGGCTTACATGTGTAGGTTTGATCGAGGACCACTAATGGGGGCAATAAACAAGGCCAGTTGGTGATCGAACCAGTGCAATCAGTTATGGTTGGTTTACCAGACAAGTTGAATCATGGACCGAGTGGTCAACGAGTATAAGTTAAATCAATGATCATTGGTTAATCGGGGCAAGTTTGGTAAAGTACCACTGACTTCTAAACCAGTGCAAGTTTATCAAGGACATAATTGGCTAAGCAGTTAAAGATTCTGATTGATCAGACACCATATACCTTTGGTTAACCAGTTAAAGTTATGGGTTGACAAGTACACATTTTATTAACCCTCCTGCTTTCTGAACAGTCACAGACAGTCAAAAAAATTAATCCTCTTCCCTGCCATGCCTTTAACACAGGCTAGTCACCAACAGGCACATATTTCAAGCAAGCACTGTGACTAGTCAAATTCAGTCAACAGACAAAAGCAGGCAAGTGGTATGCACAGCTGGCATATCAATCAACTACAGTCAAAGCATAGCTGTATCAAGTTACATAAACAGTCACAGGCAGTCAATCCTGCTTTATGGGAGCTCTTAACTGTTAAAAAAAACAGTCACTAAATTGATTTTGACAGAAAGGACAACTTTGCAAAGAAGGTTTGTCTGCATAGGAGGGTTAAAGATCAATTATTCACAAGTCCCCTAATTATTCATTCATTTCTTTTGCAGACTGTGATGAATGCCACACACCTCTTTAGACATGTAGCGGAAATAGTGTATTAAAACTACCTTAGTATTGTGATTCCACCAAAAAAAAAAACGACTGACAGTAATCTTAAAAGTGTACTTAAAGATATTTATCAGTCTGTCTTTGCTATGTTGCCTGGCTGAAAATCATGTATGAAAAAATGCATGTTTGTATTCGAGTCAAATTTTAATTGTACCTTTGATAACTAAATAAATGTATTAAAATCCAGTAAGTCTTGCGCCATGTATTCGGTGCTAAGAACACAGAAACACATTCTACTTCAAAGGTCATTAGTGGAATACTGGAATATTTTACAAACATGCTCTATTTTTTATCTTTACAGATTTCTTTACAATTTGATTGACACTCGTGGAAAAAAACTTCCTTTTTGTACATTTGTGAAAGTTTTAATTATAATACAAAGCCTGGGATCTGTATATTTGATGCCAAGCATTATCTTTGAAAATAAGGGTAACAATTATGCAGAAAATTTTCAACTCAATTATGATTAAAAATTGTAATTTAAAAAAAAATGCTTTTGTCTTGTCCCTCTGAAATGTTTACCGAAAAACATGTTCGTCCCTTGAAACGTTTGGAAGAAATTGCATGGATTTGTTCCTTTGCGAGTGTTCTGTTTGCATGTAAAATTCACTCAATTTTGTCTTTCCGTCAACTCTGCCAGGACAAAAATATTCTTCAAGCTTTTGTTTATCAAACCGCAAAAGAAAAATATTATTGATTAATCAGTTCTAAATGAATGACTCTGGATATCTATTTCTTCCCTGAAATAACTTGTACATGTATTTCAATACTGCATGGCGTTCTCATTGCATCGTATTATGGGTTCAGGGTCACGTATTTGTACAAAATTCCATCAAAGTTCGAGTCATGTATTTTTTTTCTGAAGAAAATCCACCAACAAGTGTGTGGGGAGGGGGAATTAAGGTCTGACAATTTTAATTCGGTGTATTGTTAGTACTTCGCCCGAATACAATGACCAGCAAAAAAAGAAAAATCGAAACAAACCCCACAGAGAATATTTCTGTGTAAACGAATTGTGAGATTGTTTCTTGTCGGAGTCATAAGAACATTATTGTCGCTGTGATTTTTTTGTGCCCCTAAAATTAAGAATGGAACAACCACAGGCGCACGTCACGGCGCGCATGCTTGGGCTACGTTTTCAATTTTCGCGCGCATGCGTACTTCCTTTGCATGTTTACTGGTCACCGCGGCAATTTTTAGGGGTAATACGAAGTGTTTTCAATCTTAAAATATCTCCTTTTAACCGAGGCATCCTGTTCTAAAGACCAGCTAATTTTGGTTTTCAACACTCCAAGAAATATTTTATCGCTGAATTTGTCTGCAACGGCGTATGAATGATGTTTTTGCATCCCTTGGAAACATCCAGAATCGAGCCCGTTTGGAACGTGCATGACCACAATATAGCAGCCATGGCGAAACCATTTTGGATTTTTAGTAAAGATGGCCGTTCACCAAGCTTAGCAGTTTCTTCAAGTTGGGTAAGTATTAAAATTGCTAAAAATGTTGAACGTGCATATCATGACAAGATCGTGTGACAGTTGTGTCTCAAAGTTTATCTTTTTTTCTCGTTGCAGTCTTTGTCGCATGGATGACAAACCAGGTGGAAATGCTGCAACCTGACGCCACTTTTGTTCTTCATATATCATCTCAATAAAGGTCAGTCATTTCAAAAATGTTGAAAATACATGTACATGAAACTCCTCCCTGTGCTTGATAGGTAAGAGAAGACTACTGCGTACTGGTCCAGCAACCCACTGGACCTGTTGTCTGTTCACTTTTTTCCTCTGTCTGCCCCGTCTCCTAGCTCCTTCCCTGCACTGTTCCTTGGAGGATGGTCTTTGACAAAGAAGCTTACAGTCTGGTATAAAAGGTGAGATTGTTTTGTCTAGTCCAGAAGTAAAATGTAGGTGCGCCTCCCATTGCACTTTTTTTACTTCACTCTAATTGAACCTTCAAATCATTTCTGAAAATCGGCTAGTATATATTCACCTCAATTTACCTATAACACTTAATTCAATAATTTACTTGATTGTTTGTGATGCTGCCTGAATCAAATTCAATTTCTATGTTTTCCTCTTCTCTTTGCATTCTTTTTAATTTCCCTGATGTTCAAGTTCTCCTTCAAAAAGATTTCAGAAATACACTTGACATTCTTATATCTTGACATCTTGACATTATGATATTACTGGAGTGCGTTTGTTTGTCTTCAAATATAACGGTAAGTCATTGAATTTGGTCACAGATCAACATGTATTTTGTAGTGGAATGTAACTACCGTACTATTTTGGTTCCTATAATTACTGCAAAAATATTGTGAAGTAATTTAAGTTTTCTTGCTTTCCCCTGTTCTATTTGTCTTTGTATCATTTTAGTTTCCCTGGTGTTAAAGTTTTCCTTCAAAGAAGATTTCAAGAATACTTTACCACTGTGACAGCCTTGGTTCACTGGCCAGCTTAACATTCTGAGAACATACAGTAAAGGTGATGTGTCTGCAAATATAATGGTAAATTATGGGTCACAGATATCATATATTGTGTAGATTTATATATTGGCATGCAATTACTTTATAAATTGCTTCATAATTAGATATGGCAAAAACATTGTGAAGTAGTTTTAAGTTTCCACGTGTTCCCGTGTTCTTTTTTGATGTATTTGCATCATTTTTAGTTTCCCTGGTATTGATTTTAAGATTTTAAGAATACTACACTACAACCTTGTTTCACTGGCCATGCTGACACTGTGAGATCACTGAAAGGTGTTTATTTGCCCTCAAATATAACGGTAAGTCATTAAGTCTGGTCACAGATAACATTATGTAAACGAATATAGTTCCTATAATTATAGTTATAGCAAAAAAGGTGTAAAGTAGTTCAAGTTTCTTGTTTTTCCCTTGTTCTATTTATTTCTCAATTTGCACCATTTTAGTTTCCCTGGTCTAAAAGTTGTCCTTCAAAGAAGATTTCAGGAGTACTGCACAACAACCTTGTTTCACTGGCCATCTTGACATTCTGAGATCACAGCTAGAGAGCGTGTTTTTGTCTTCAAATATAACGGTAAGTCATTGGATTTGATCACAGATCAACATATATTTTGTAAATATATATCTTGGAATGTATTGGTTCGTATGGCAAAGACATCAGGTAGTTTAAGCTTTGTTTTTTTTACCCCTGTTTCTTTTTTTTTAATTTGGTCACAGATAAACATATACATTTTGTATTTTGTAAATGCCTATTGGTTCCTATGATTAGTTATTGTGCAAAATCGTATTGAAATCGGAGGATCCAGGACTGTTAGGGCTATCCCTAACAGTCCCGAATCCTCCGATTTCAATACAATTTTGCATGCCCCCTATGGAGTTAGGGTTAAGTCTTACTGTTTCCCCTTGTTCTGTTTATGTCTTTGCATCATTTACTTTCCCAAGTGTTGAAGTTCTCAGCTCTAAAGAAGATTTCAAGAATACTACACTTCAGCCTTGTTTCACTGGCCAATGTCACATTCTGAGCTCATATACATGTAGGTCATATGTCCTCAAATATAATGGTAAGTTATTGAATTTGGTCACAGATAACATATGTTTTGTAAATGTATTTATTGACATGTAATTACTGTATCACATTGGTTCCTAATTAGGTATGGCAAAACATTGTGAAGTTATTTAATGTCTCCTGTTTTCCCTTGTTCTGTTTATGTCTTTCCATCATTTTTAGTTTCCCTAGTTCTCCTTCAAAGAAGATTTCAAGAACACTTCACTACAGCCTTGTTTCGCCGGCAAGCTTAACATTCTGAGATCATAGAGGTGACGTGTCTTCAAATATAATGGTAAATTATCAGATTTGGTTACAGATAAAATATATTTTGAACTGGTATCAATTTTTAGTTTCCCTGGTGTTGAGGTTCTCCTTCAAAGAAGATTTCCAGAATACTATACACTGCAGCCTTGTTTCATTAGCCAGCTTAACATTCTCAGATCACTTTTTAGATGGCGTTTGTCTTAAAATATAATGGTAAATCATTGAACTTGGTCACAGATATCTTGGCATGTGATTAACATTAGTAACTTTAGTTATGTGGAAACATTGTGAAGTTATTTCAGTTCAACAATGTTTTCCCCTGTTCTGTGTTTTTGACTCACTTTTGCAGTATTTTAGCTTCCCTTGTTTCAACATCCTCCAAGGCAGAGACTCAAGGATGCAGCTTCCTCCCACTGGACAGCTGGACTCACATAGGTCGCAAGAGGGTGCTAGTCTTCAAATATCATGGTAAAAAATCATTGAATTTGGTCTAAGACTGCATGTATGTTTAGGGGCAATTCTGTGAAATCCATAGTCTGACCACATGATGTATCTATACAACTAGGTTGTTCATTGGTTGTACCGAATTAGTTCAGTCTGTAATTATTTTCTACTTGTTAGATGTCGCATATTATGAGTGATGTATCACATTCACTTTTCCAACAGCAGCTTATTTAAGAGACTGACACAGATGTCCGAATTAACGGAATTGCCTGAGAATAGAATTGCTACATGTACTGGTACATTAGAGTTTAATAAAGACATTATGAACTAATGTCAGTTTTCTGTTCTCCTCTGTGTTTCTGCATCAATTTCAGCTTTCCTGGTGTTGGAGTGCTTCATGGCAGAAACTCAAGAAAACCGAAGTACCGTCTTCCTTTCACTGCATGGACACCTACCGAGGCTGCATGCAACAGGTTGTTTTTACGTATCAAATCTGATCGAGTTCCATGAATATGATGAAATATTGTAAACATTTGCTGTACATTATACATGTACATAAATGATCTTATTCAATTAACTTAGTTATGGTTTTAACAACATTGTGACAGCTTAGTACACAAAGTATTAATCCCAAACAAATGTTACAATGGATAATATTTTTAAGATCTTTGCATTGGTCTCCATTACATTGACTGGATTGGTAACCCAAATGCCGGCGCGGTGATAGGCAACGAATGCAAATTTTAGGAAAACATAAAAATTAACATAAATAACTCTGTCTGCTTCACTAAGCGTTTCTGACAGCCATTTCTGGAAAAAGGACTCCAGTTCATTGCAAGTCTTTGATGTCGCATCAATTGTCAAGGCAACAGAAAGAGTAATACTAATAGACCTACACAGCATGTACGTTTTTGTGAATATAAAATCATTGAACTTCAGATTATTACAAATTTATATGTGTAACTATTTCGTTTGATATACATGGAGAGATTTGGTTTGGATCTTGGAGGGATGGCGGGATATTATGTTATAAACTGACTTTATTTTCATATTTTGATAATTATGTGTTCATTTCCAAGTTCGAGAGAGCACAGACCTAATCTTGTTTTTTTTATGCGCAGGCTTAAAAGTATCAATTTAACATTCCATGTTAGATTTGTCAAGGTTTTAGTGGATGTTTCATTCCCTTTCCATCCTTAATTTATCTTCAAATTGAACACATTTCACAGGGATTCATCACTGATTTATTTAACTGATGTTTCACCCCTTTCCCTTCCTTATACATGTAGTTACCTTCATATTGAACACATTAAGGGAAACTTCAATGATATTTTCTATTTCATACAACATTTATAGGCTTAAATGTAGGACATATTTTCATGTTGAGGTTTTATTTGAAGTTCCACCCCTTTCCATACTTATTTATCTTCATATTGAGCACATTGGGGGAAACATCCATTATTTTTCATTTTTTTATCAACTTACATAGGCTTAAATATAGTACACATTTGCATGTTGCTTTTCCATTTTTATTTATCTTCATATTGAACACATTTAATAGGGAAACATCAATGATTTTTCCTTAATCAGTTTATATAGGCTTAAATATAATACAGATTCGCATGTTGAGGCTTAATGTTTCACCCCTGTTCCATTTTTATATATCTTCGTATTGAACACATTGATGGGAAAATCCATGATTTTCTTTTATCAGCTTATAGTCTTAAATATAGTACATATTTGCATGTTGATGTATTTAGTTGATGTTTTACCCATTTTCCTTCATTAGTTATCTTCATATTGAACCTACTCAAGAAAAATCACTTCTGTTTTTCATTGTTTTCATCAATTAGGCCTACTTACTTTAATACTTGTATGTGTATTCTCCAAAAAATCAAACCGTTTTCAAAAACTGATTTACTGTCAATTAGATGAAAATATTTAATAATTTTTATTTTTTTTTGCTTTTCTGCAAATCATATTTTTGTGCTCAGATTTTTGGATGCTCTTGTTTTTCTTATGATTTATTGACTTTTTGTCTGCTACTGTTTGTTTTTCTGTAGATATATATTCAAATGAAAAAGTCGGAAATGAACTGTCAAAAACAGGAAAATGTTTTAGTCTTGCCTTCTCACTATAAAATTTATCTTCTGTTCTGAACTGTTATTGTGTATTGAAATAAATAATTGTGGAATATTATATTTTGCAGATGTTCCCGGGCTAACTTAGCAGTTGATGGTCCTTTCTATGCATGCCGAGAATCCACTGAAGGGCACCAGTTTGTGATACATCAAAATTATGATGAACTATTAATAAAATGCATTTGACTTTACCTAAGGCTGCTTTCAATTTCCAAGATTCTAATTGAGGGATTAGGAGAAATAAATGCCTACTTTCACTGTACTTTACCTTAAGAAAAGGTTTTCTTTTATAAATGTTTTAAAGAAAATCGAGTTGATTTGTATGCCATTTTGGTATAACCGAGATGAAGAAAAGAAATGGAAAAGAAAGAACATATTGCTCGACCAACAGCCAAATTACCAGACTGCAAAATGTCAGGATTACACATGTACAATTATGAGAAAATTGTCTTACACTTTATACCAAAATTTGATTGTCATCGTTCACGTTGTTACTTAATTAATTATATATATCTTGCCTGGTGTAGAAGTAATACATGCTTATAGTGCTCATCTGGGAAGGCCATATACCAGTTATATATTAATTTATATGTTTGTCAAATGCTCGAGTTGTTTTTGTAAAATAAAACTGGCACTTTTCAGAATCTGTGCGAAGTAGTGGATAATAAAATGATGTGCTTAGTAACACTGTTGATTGGTTTTCCATTTGTTCTCATTTTGGAGGTGTTTTGTGATGTTTCTATTTATATTATCGTAACAAGTTCAAATCGAAAAGTGCAAAATAAACAAGTGCTTGTATCTCAAATGTACTCGGCAAATTCACTGCAATGCGCACAGCGTGTAGGACAGACAAACCAGTCTATGTAATGGGTCCAAATGCTTACATGTACTTTAAACACCAGGGTTGAAAAAATTGAGGATTTCTTTGAAAGTTTTAATAAATGATGTAATACTTAAGTCAAACGAATAAAATTGGCTTATCACTTCTGTTGACCTACAACATTGTTAACGCATAATTATTGACTTCCTATATTAACTTCCTTTTAATGGTTTCAAATATTTCTGTAAGTTCAAATAAATATTGTCATGTAGGTCAAAATGAATAAACTAATTCAACAGTTTTGTTCAACATTTTTTTATACACAAATTAATTTACTTCCTATATATTAAAGTCCATTGATACTTTCTAATAAAATTTGTTTAAAGACGGACTTGATTTCACTCGGAAACCCATATATTATTTAAATATATGAATTATTTTTAGGGGTCTGAAACAAGCCATAATAACAAGTATAGATACACTCAAATAATTATGTTTTATATCTTGAAAAAAGTTCTCCAATTAGTATTATGTCTGTCAAGTAACATAAAGTTTGGTAAAATCACTAAGAAATACCTAAAAGTGTGTCGTGTTAAGATTTTGGTGAAATTTTACAGATACTGAAGTAACTGTATGTAGTATAGTATGGAAATGTATCTCGTGAAAATCTAAAATATCAAAACAATTGAAATGAAAACAATTTAAAAGTCATATTGAATTGTTTTAATTTAAACCACTTTCTGTGAGCATACCATGACATTCAGATAGACTATAACCAAGTTTTATATTAAGATTACTTATCTTAATTCACCCCCACACTATATTTGCAGACTATTTCCCAGAAGTATGGTTCGATATATATTGCCTATCTTTCCATAAGGAATTGTTAGCTCCAAGTCCATGCAGGATTCCCCTTCAACTATGTACAATTAAGATTTAGTGACAAATAAGAATGTTAATTTGTCCTATCCACATATTTTTAAATGATATAACACGTGTATTGGTGTCTTATTAAAAGTATTACCCAAAACAAATGTACATGTATATAATTTTGCTGAATTATGCTGTACAATTGTCATTATTTGCGTTTTAATATGCATATAACTGAAAGGAGACAATTAAATCATACATTTGGTGTGAAAACACACTGGGAACCTAGCAATGTCCTTTTATTCGTTGCCTGCTTTTGTTATTTAAATATATTTAAATTGTATGCAAATTATATTCAAATTATCTAGGTGCATTATTGTTTTTATACTTTTTTGATTGCGCAATCCAACCAGAATTTTGGACCTGTGAGGTGGTTTCCTTCTGAATATTCAGTTTTCTGCTTTTTATTATTCATTTATTCAAATGAGGCCAGGCGGCCATTTTTTTTCTTTTTTTTATATTGCGCAATCTAACCTTTAAATATAAGTTCCGAAAAAAAATTTTCGAAGTAGCTGATGGCCTGGCGGTCCAGCTCGCTGACCGCCAGGCCTGGGGTCCCGGTTCGAGCCCAGCCGGGGCCCGGGAGGAAAAATAAATTTTGCTCACTTGTAATGGTGAATTTAAAATATAATTAAATAAAATAGTAGCATGGAGCAGGGTTGAACCGTGTACCTTCTGCATGCCAGCTCTACTCTTTTCCGCTCTGCCATGGCACTTTCTTGAAAAACTCTCGGGTTTTCGTAATTAAAACCCTTAGGTTGTTGGACTTAGAAAATTTTTCAGCTCTGGCCAAAATTTCAGATCGCAAGGGGTACCCCTTGAAATTTTTCCAGATCTGAGGGTCTGAGGCTGGGATGGAATTTGAGTTGGAGGGGTAGGCTTTGGGACTCTGGGCTGTTGGGCAAACTGCCGAGAGGGACATGGACTTCTGGCTGAGGATTTGGGTTTTTTTGGAGTGGGTAATTTTTGCGCTAGAAATTGGGGACTCTGGGCTGTTGGGCAAATTGCTGAGAGGGAAATGGACTTCTAGCTGAGGACTTTGAAATTTTGGGGGTTGGTGATTATTTGGCTGGACTTTATTAAGACTTGGAATTGATGGGTCTTGAAAAATTATCCGGTTTTCGTAATTAAGTCCCTTAGGTTGTTGGACTTGGAAATTTTTTCAGCTCTGGCCAGAATTTAAGATCGCAAGGGGTGCCCCTTGAATTTTATTTAAGATCAGAGGGTCTGAGGCTAGGATGGAATTTGAGCTAGGGGTAGGCTTCGGGACTCTGGGCAGTTGGGAAAACTGCTGAGAGGGAAATTGACTTTTGGCTGAGGACTTGGGTTTTTTTTGGGATGGGTGATTTTTTTCGCTAGGAATGGGAATAAGAGCCATCACCGTTGGAACTTCTGGGACTTGGAACGTTGAGGAGAAGGTAGGTGAAGTTATCTTGCAAATATTCTTTTTGCTGGTTTTTATTTTAGGGAGAGAATCCATAGAGCATGGCTGTAATGGGGCTTGAAACTCAATTCCACCGTAAACCAACACATATAAACTAGAATCTGTCCCGGCAGACTGCTGCTGGGATGCTGACCTGTGTTTGATAAGGACTCTTAGTGTCAGGGTCTTGGTGCAACCTGGTTGAACCGCCTTCTCGCTCGTTTACGCAGCGTTACGTTGCAAGTAGGGATTTCCTACTTCAGATTACAAGAATATCTGATGATAGGATTGCTTAAAGTGGAAATTGTGAATTAAAGAAAAATTTGTTTCTCGATTTCTGATATAATTTGGGGTAATAAAAAGGTGTCGTTAATGTACATGAATAAAGGAGAACTGCACAGGCATTTCATAGTTTTGATAGCGTGCAATGACAACTGATGGGGAAACACTTGAAATAAATCAGTTTTTGGACATAATTCTGTTGTCATTTATAACATTTTTTTTATTTAAAAAAGTCGTGTTTACATGCACACCAAAACCTGACATTCAATACGTTTAAAATTTCAACCAGGTAAATAGCACGATATGTTCTGATCGTAGCCAAAGGAATAAGAAATGTAAATGATCATTTAGAATAATACTAATTGAAGTTAATATACAACAATAACAGCAGACTCGTTTTCCGGACAAAAACTCAAGAATTATCTGTTATATTAAATTGAAATTTCATCTGATTGTTCTTGGCATTTTTATGACGCCTGTTAAATTTTAAGAGGAATTGTCAAACAACAAAGTCAATATAAGGTGAAGTAAAAAAGAAAACCAAACATGTTTCTCGTCCCCGCCCGTTTCCTTTTTGGAGGCCGCCTGGATTTGCTAAACTCTTTTTTATTTTTGAAAAATGTAGTAAAAAAGCACCGAAAAAGTCCACAAATTCATCGGAAAATAAATACCAATACCAATACAACTCTAAATGACACTGTAAATACGTTCAGTTCTTGTCTTTTATTTTTAAAAGTGTCTTTGAACAGTGGAACACCAACGGTTGCAGGAATTTTTAAAATGGCGGCCATCGAGAAAAAAAATTAAATTAAAAAAAATAAAAAGCCCCGGTTTCCCCTTTTTTCAAAAACTCCGGACGAGAAACATCGGCCTAACCAGCACATGTGAGTGTCTTAAGCGGGAAAATACAATCTGAATGGAAGTCTGTCTTATAATTGCCCAAAAAACACACACAATCATTGCGCATTAAGTTAAGAACTACCGGTTGTTGGTTAGTCATAATAACACAAGTGCATTGAATATCGAGAGAATCAGCCATTACTAACAGGTAAACATGTAATCAAATAATATGGTTTGCTATTAAGTAAGCCGGTTTCAACCAAACTACAGTTTTCTTTTAAAAGAGGGTGGGTTACACATTAAAGTGGTCAGTATAACATACTTTACCATCGTATATTTACGTGTCTTTTGAACTTCTTACTTTATTCCTCCATTTTATTTGATTATATTATTTCACCGTTCCTCGTGGGTAATATAAATATTTCATGCATGCCAATTACCAGGGGGTGGTGATGAAACTCCAACTACAGTTTGAAATATTTAACCATCGTATACCATAATATTTTAATTCTTAATACATTATTCCCACATATCTTTTAAAGTTTTATTTGACTGTTTCTCACGAGTAAAAAAAAACATTGACATGTCAATTATCGGGGATAGATAAAAGTCAACCATAAAGTGTAAAATATGTCACCATCTTTTATTTATGCGTCTTTTTGACTTTTAACATTATTCCTTACTTTCATTTGTGTTTATTTGACTGTTTCGCATGAGTTATATAAATGTTTCATTCAAATTACCGGGAGAAATAAGAGTCAAACCTAAGTTTAAAATATTTCACCATCGTATATTTTCTTTAAAACCTATTACATTATTTCTACATTATATTTATATTTATTTGACAGTTTCTCACGAGTTATATAAATATTTTATGCCGTTTAATGGTAAAAAAGAAAAAAAAATGAAGTTAAAATATTTTTTAGCAAAACCTTGGCGGGATTCGATCTCGCGTCGGGGCGCTGCAACGGCGAAGCCGTTGCAGCGCCCCGACGCGAGATCGAATCCCGCTCTGTGCCTTAGACCACTCGGCCATCTGACAAAGAGGATTAGGCATGGTGAACAGTGCTTAATCTTGGGTGATTTTCAGGGCGAAGGGAGGCGCACAGTAAAATGCAAAGGGTCTGAGTAAAACCAAAGTGCGCCCTGGAAAAAGGATCATTATGTAATTTGTTCTGGCAATATGAGATAGAAGTCAATACACTATTATTATTATTATTATTATTATTATTATTATTACACAATTAATTTCCTTGTTATTATTTGTTCGATTTTTAGTTCAGATTAATCGATATTTGTGTAACTTTTTTTATTAAACAAATCGTGGAATAAAATGTTTGGTCATCTTTTGCGTCGACTTAAGGTTCTAAAATGTTTTTTTTAAGGCAACTTCAGAGATCAGGGTGATAATATGGTGATGGAAACTTTTAAAAAATTATTTTTTTTAAAAGCTGAAACTACCAAAACCATGACATGAAATGACATCAAAAAACAAGCAGGTTCGGAATTACATAATTGCCGTCGATATATCAAAATCTATTCCTACATTTCATTAGGGGTTTGGAAGAAATACACTGCAAGTTTAGGTAAATGTAATTAGGTTAAAAACTTATCGCAGTGGACTAATGGAACATCAAGTTAGCCCCTCCCACTGCGCACGTAGGCAAATAAACACGTGCTCCTCTCCAATACCCACACTGCATTTTCCTGCCGCGTGCATCATACGCGCGTGTACGCGTGTCGGACTTTTGTGCACGCATGTCAGACATAAATCACGGCTGTGATTGGTCCGAATACCATGGGGCGGTGCTTACTGGATCAGTCCATTGATGCACGACAACTCCATTGGCGTCCCCCTTTGAAAAATAGAATTGGGAGGCAACCGATGTACGCAACCGCCAGGCAACCCAAACATTTAAACATCTTTTGCATGTTAGGCCAAACAAAAAAATGGTCAGACCAAAATTCCGGAATTGACGCGGCGACGCGGCTTTTTTTTTTTTTTTTTTGCTTTTTTTTTTTCTTTAAGCTTGGATTGTACAGACAAGGTGGGGTATTATTTTGCTTTTTTGGTGTCCTCATGTACATTGACGTCCTTCATAATTTGCCTTGGGGCTCTCCATCATTTGCCGTGGTGCAATTTTCCCATTCCTTGGTGTTCTTTGGTAAAACAAATTGAGGAGGTGCGGCAATAGAGGGCGCTGTTTGAGCTACCGTGGAACATTTTGGGGAAAAAAAAAATTGACGCGCATGATTAAAATCAACGCGCGCGCTGACCAGAGACCGACTTATTTTTGAGGGGGCCTTATTGTACCAACATAAAACAGCTTATGTCGTCAATTTTTACGCAAGAGGGCGCTCTTTTTCTCAGAAATTCATTCACATTTTATAAAGCCTTAGGTTAAAGGGAATTAACTGGCTACAATTTATTTTTAAAAAGAGTAAATTTACCACTACTCCGTTTCATAAAACAGGTACTCGGTTTCATTAATCAAAACAGGTACTTTAAAAAGGTACTTCTAGTTTGGCAATGCAAGGAATGGGCCTCTTTTGATACAAGAGGGCGCTCTTTTTCTTAGAAATTCATTCACATTTCATAAAGCCATTGGTTAAGGCCTTATGGGGATAAATTTATTGTACACAAGAGTAAACTTCACTACTATTCCGTTTCATAAAACAGGTACTTTAAAAAGACACTTCAAGTTTGAAAAGGTAAGGGGGTGGACTTTTTTGACGCAAGAGGGCGCTCTTTTTCTCAGAAATTTATTCACATTTCTTAAAGTCATGGGTAATGGGAATGAAGGGTACGAAATTGATTTAAAATGAGTCAACCTCTCTCCTGTTCTTTTTCATTAATCAAAACAGGTATTTAAAAAGACACTTCTAGTTTGGCAAGGCAAGGGATGGGCCTCTTTTGATGTAAGAGGGCGCTCTTTTTCTCAGACATTCATTCACATTTCATAAGGCTATAGGTTAAGGGTAATTAAGGGGATAAAATTTATTTAACAAAAGTAAACTTCACTACTATTCCGTTTCACAAAACAGGTACTTTAAAAAAACACTTCTAGTTTGGCAAGGCAAGGGTTGGACTTTTTGGACGCAAGAGGGTGCTCTTTCTCTCAGAAATTCATTCACATTTCATTGAGCTTAAGGGTAAAAGGAGTTAAGGGGATACAATTGATTATCAGAAGCCAACTCTACTACTACATGTATTCTGTTTCATTCATCAAAACAAGTACTTTAAAAATTCAAAGCAAATTACAGGTGTTTTAATTGTGGGGTGGGGGGCTTGTGGGGGCACTGGGAATTTGTGGGTGGGCCAAATTTTCCCAGGCTCTTCCTTTGCCACGCCATCCATCGTGTCTAACTAAACAACCTTTGGCTTTCAATTATTGCTAGATTTTCGCTGTACTAACTTTCAGGTAGAATTAGCTTGACTTTTGAGATTTGGTCCCTACATTTATACTGATGGTCATTTCAGATTGCACTTCACTGCTCGTACTGTCATCAAAGTATTACATTGTATCAAAGAATACTGATATTAAACCTCAGTGACAATGGCATCATGCTTTTGTAACTTCTAATGAACTATGTGCACAAGTACATTGTCTACCCCTAACCCCATCAAAGATAAGGCCAAATAAAAAAAGTCTCCGGTTTCTGGTATGGAGCTTGCCCAAAAAGTGGTGCGTCGACGCGGCTTTTTTTTTTTTACCTGTTTTTTTTGCTTCAAATGTCGGCTGATGACTGCAAATGGTGCCCGACTTAACTTCGTGCAAATACACGGGAGTCCAGGGAGGCCACATCAAGCTTATTCTCGATCATAACCCCATCTTAAAACACGTTAAAATTGTGCAGCAGCAGGATTCCAGTCAAACCAGTGAATTTGGCGGTTTGAGACATCATATTTCATTGAAAAAAAAAACTGTTTCATTTTGCCGACGCGCATGGCTACAGCGACGCGCGCGCATACCAGAAACCAGAGACTTTTTTTTTTGGCCTAAGAAAAAGAGAGTTCGGGAAGACCACATGGAGAGACATTCAAACGCATTGCCGAGTAATGCTCACTCAAAGATAGTACATGTACATGTATGGCTTTGTGCACATTCGGAATAAAATCAGTGTACCTGCGAACCAGGCACATGCATTGTGTCCCGCCCATGGGTCCTCAAACGTGGTTCAAAAGCGCCCTCTCTTGTTCATGCACAGATCTCATGGTGGCTCTTGTCCCCAACTTGCTCCTATACAGCCTGTGCAAAATATACCAAATATTCAATCATCAACGGAATATCTGCATAGATTTTTGTATTCAAAGTGTTAAACAATGTGAGCGATGTCACTTGATCAACGTCCACCACACTATTTTTGTGAGGTTTAGATTAAAAGGATGAATCACTATTGAAAATGGTACCATGCACTTGAACTACCCCCTCAACGTTAATAAAGGGAGAGTCGAGGACCACTGTTGGAGATGAATGTACGGTCAAACCCTGATAAGAAGAGCACTGTTAATACAACGTCCTGCTTACAACAAACAAAAGTTTAGGTCCCAAGTCTTTGTTTTCCTTTGTTTTCCTTTGTTTTCCAATACTGATAATACAAGGTACTGGTCTGTTATAACAATGCAATTTGTAAAGTCCTAAGGACCTTGTTATAAAGGTGTTCGGCTGTATTCATACGCATCGCTTATAATGCCCACACTCAGGCAAAGATACCGTACTACAGCTTTTGGCACATTCAAAATAATGCGTACTTTGCGCTATACATGAGCCAACCAGTGCGCGCACCTGTGTATCTTGAAAGCGCTAAAAAAGTGCCCTCTCTTGTTCGCGCATTGAGTCCGTAGACCATATGCGTGACAGAATGAGTGCGCTATGATGACACCATTTAGGGGTACATACATTAACTCATTAGCACCTTTACTTAATGTACATTGTATGACATTGTGTTTGTCTACTTCAGGCATGCAACTGGGATTTTAGAAGAAAAAAAACAAAGAAGCTCCAAAATACACACCAGATTTTGTACAGTATTTTTCAATTTGTAATGGCATTTATGAGAGGTAAAAACCGAGGAAATCAGTGGATCCGAGGAAAAATTACGTACTGCTGTTTACTTATTGAAGAATCAATGAAACCATAAAGTGCTCAGGTTGTTGTACACATGTAAGTTCATACATGACTATAATTCAATAGTTTTACATTCTCATATTTTTTTTCCGCATTTGTGTTGTCACGTGAGCATCAGGCTTCGACAGCAATTCATTTAAAGTCTCCTTTTGTAACCGCTTGAGGGGGTACTTGCATGTGAACGGAGTCCAGATTGTACAAAATTCCTCAACTGCTTTATAATGGGTAGTGTTAAATTTGCACCCAAAAAAAGACTTCATCACAAAAACACGTACCGCATTGCAGACACTGTGAACAGATGGTCTGCAAGTAACAGGAAATCCACAAAACTTGAAAGTCAAGAGGGCAAGAGTTCAGAGTTGCACGACAACTGGAGCATCGTCGTCTGGCATAGCATCAAAGTCCCACCTGAATCTCTTAGTCAGGCTGTCCTTGAATCGCCGACCTTTGACCTTTATCGGCTGACTGACCTCCGCCTCTTCCAGGTTGGTGAAAAATTCCCGCAGGGTGGTGGTCAGGAAGTTGTCCTTGGAGACGATGTCGATGAAGAAGTCAGCAGGGACCTCCTTGAGCTGGAAGTGGAGTGCAGTGATGAAGCTAGCATAGAGCTCCTGGTGAGCCATGAGGGACTCTTCAGAGGCACATAGGATGTGGACCAGTCGCTTCCATTGCTCAAAGCCGTCGTAGACCTGTCCAACGAGGAAACAGACAAAGGCAAACTGGATCTCCCCAAGGATACCGCTGGGGTGGTCTGGGTAATGTGTCCTCAGCATGCTCTCCAGGGTGTAACTGAGGTCCATGGAGTACTTGGTGATCTCAGCGGCAGAAGCTCCCACTGGATAGTTCCTATCCGGGATGGGACTGAACCGGATCTCTGTCCCTGGCTCATTGTGCATCCTGGGTAGCAGATCCTCGGCACTGGTATTTGCACCCTCAGGGTGTTCCAGACGCCGGCTTTCTGCTAACTCAGCTCTCTGGGCTGATGTCCGGGTTTTGTCATCTGCAATCAACTGCGGAGCTGAAAAGATCTTCCCACACGATGGCATCAAGTCTTTGACCAAGGCTTCCGTGATGTGGCTAGTTAGCGACACCCACTTCTTCAAGCTTTCGTAAGGGTAGGATCCTAAGAATGGATCAAACTCTCTAAGACGTCCCCGATACTCTGCCTCCTCGCCGTCTTCCAAGAAGTGCTCCACTGCATCCTCGTCTCGTTTGCTCCAGCTCAGTACCATCACCTCCTGCCGCTTGAAGCAGTGAAAGAACCCCATGCGAGGGGCGGTACTGCGCTCCCTGACGTTCACAGCGCTGTAGTACACAAAGTGCACTCCCGGTGGGATCATCTTGACTCCCTTGAAGTTCTCCGCGGTGTTCCATGTGTTGTAGTCGATGCCGAATTCTGTGCCAGGGGGGACGTTGAGAAAGAGAAGTGTTGCTCCTTCCTCGAAAAGCTTCCTGGCCGTGTCTTGATCCATTCCCACAGAGGACTCCACTGCTATGTTGGTTGTTCTGAAATATTTACCTATTACAATAAAAAAGAAGAAGACATATATCAAAGATTGGAGAGTAAGTTTTCAAATCAACTGTACTTGTTATATCGTGTCTTTGATACGTGTAATTTCACTGGTCTACCCGGTCATGTGTCCAGTCTATAAAAGTGTGTTACATATGATTTACCTAATGTACATTGAGTTGCGCATCAAATACGCTTTTCACACCACAATATAACATACAATTTTTGTCTGCTGTAGGCCTAATATGGTATTTGACAAGAAACACAATAAAGGGGGCCACTTTGCATCCGTCACGTTAGCAGTTTTTCCAATGGTTGCAATTTTGTTTTACAGTACCTGAAAAACCAAAAAAAGTTTTTGAAATGTTAAGGGACATGTGTACATGAAGGCTTATCATGCTTATCATACATGTACATTGTAATATGTGTTGAATCATTTCTTTTTTTTTCTTTTTTCTTTTTAAATCACCCTCAAAATTCCATCAAATATGGCCGGAAAACGATACAGTTGATGAAAATTTGAGGATAATGTCAAAAAGTAATATAAATAATCAACTCAAATGATCTTTAGCGAAAGGCTGCATGTCCATTTACATTCATTTGTTGAAATTCTTCTTTTGTTGTTTCAGGTATTTAACAAAAAAAATCACAACCATTGAAAAAACTGCTAACGTGACAGTAGATAAGTGGCCCCATTTATTGTGTTTCTTGTCATATGCCATTTTTAACACTTCGGGTTCCATATATCACTCTCTGTTTGCCTCCTGTGGACCTGTGCTACAAAAGATGTGTACGACTAGTGCGACTGGTCGCCAAAGCATTGGTAGTCAGGACTACCGTATCAATAGTGCTTGTGTAAAGTAGCATCCGCTGACAATCACACAGTGTGACTCCACCAACCAGTGTTGTTGACTAGAGTCGCCAACTCGGACTTGAGTCTGACTCCTCTTGCCCTTTTTTTTACTTCAGATTTGACTTGACTTAGAAAAAAAATTACTTGAGGTTTGAGTTGACTTAAAAAAAAAAATGATTAACTACTTGACTTGACTTGACATACACACAACTGTGACGTTTCTTTGAGTTTCTTTTTCGTTGAAGGTTCTTGAGTTTTATTATCAGGTGCCAATGTTTTTGTCGACGGTTACATTTTTGTTGACGGCTGTTCATTGTTTCTATCCTTCTGACAGATCAAAGCATAAAATACTTGCTGCGTAACACTCCAAATCGATCGCCGCATGCATAATTCAACTGGCGCACTCTGCATGCAACTTTTGACCAGCGCTGCACGCAGCTTGCAGTTTTGAATTTTTCAATATCCGAATATATTCGGTCAAGCACAGTTTCACGTATTGTAATCAAATACTAAATTATCAAAAAATGGACAGCCCTAACTTGCTGACATAACACTTTTGTTAAAATAAACACAAACTTTCAGGTGCAAGCAAAAATCAGTTGAACAGAAAGCCAATGGACCTGATGTACATGGCTAGGCGTCCTGCACATTTTTATTTTTCACTTGACATTCACCATGGAAGATACTTAAATGTACCTGGTTAATAGCCAGGATAAATCGAATTATGTTTTTGTACATGTAGGTGTTAAGTTAGTACTACTCTTCAGGCAAAATTTAAGTGATTTTGTCAAAAAAGATAGCCCTAATATTTCTCTGGGTCACAGGTCATAACACACTTGACATTTGATTCTTTCCGGGTTTTAACCAGGATCTGGTAAGTAGGCCCCTACATGTATCTTCAATAGTGAAACTTAGGCAAAAAAGTCCTAATTTTGATTTCCTAAAAAATGTATTTAATCCCCACATTTAGCGTAGCCTACAGCCACTGTGACTGTACGTGTGGCTCACAATAGTATGGAGGAAGCTAGTCCAGTATTTTGAGCAACATTAAAAAATCCATAAAAAAAAGGAAAAATTTCCATGTATACGAAGTTCACTCATTTTCCTCTGTATTGACTAAGCCCCCAGATAGCAATTGCATGTCATCAAAGTCATGTTGAGAAGTGAGAAAATACAAGCATTTTCTTAGAAAACACTTATAATTTTTCAGTCCAATCTCATAGGGTTTGTACACGGGGTGTTGAGTGAACTTCGTATATGGAAATCTTTCACAAAAAAATGCACTAGCAAAATGTAAGAATTTGACGTACATGGGAACAATCTCCCCCTAACTGAGAAGGGTGCATTTGTACACTTTTAGTTAATATAGTGTGCCCGATTGTGGGATTTTATCAGTGCTCCCCCTTGAAAATATGATACAAGCCGCCCCCCCCCCCCACCCCCCGCCAAACGTATTGATTTTCAGAGGCCTAAGTGTCTGGAGAAAATAACCGGTTGGCATTTAAGCACGCCTCCCTGGAAAAAAATTCTGGCGGTTCACCTTGCTAGCCCCAAAAAATATTGGCTCTAGAACCACGCCTGATCGCCACGGTCCACGGCCGGTGACAAGTGCCATGCCTGGCCGCACAGCGCCACCGGCATGACCGGTTCCAGCCCCCCCCCCCCCCCCCCCCTCCAAAAAAAAAAAAAAAAAAGAATAAATAAATCAGTCTATAATCGAGATGGGGTACGTATGCTTTGTGAAATAATGGCAAAACAGCATTTAGCTTTCAGGATGACAGGTGCCGAGTTGGTCAGGTGCCGAGTTAGTCAGGTGCCGAGTTGGAAGTTATGAGAAAGAGGCAAAATTCGGGTGCCAAGTTGGCCAGGTGCCGAGTTGGCTAGGTGCCGACTAGGTGCCGAGTTGGCAAGGTGCCGAGTTGGCAAGGTGCCGAGTTGGCAGGTGCCGAGTTGGCTAGGTGCCGAAGTGACCGACATTCCAACTAGGCCTAGCCATGCTAGCACTGGGTTGGTTATAGTTTGGGTCGGTCTAAACTGTGCATTTTGTTGGTCCCTACCCTAGACCCGTGAAAGTGGCGTTGTATACAACGCCACGCGCTTCCGTCGGGTAAATGCTAGCGACAGCATTCTATCTTTTGATCCGCTACATATAACCATGTATAATTTCGCCAATATGTGAATCACTTACTTGTTGGGCCTCCTGTGAATTTCCGCGAGTGTTGGATCTGTCATTGCCAAGAAATTTGATGTAAAGTACGGCACAACTTTGTCACAACGAATGTTTTCAAAATGATCAGGAAATCAAGGCCAGGCATGACACTCTGGTACCCCGAGTTCCGCATGCGCAAAACAGAAGAAGCATCACCAGTGGGTACCCGACTAACCGTCTTACATGGCAGGATGACCGTAATACCATGTAAAATTCTGCTAAATCCACTTCGAAAGTCTGCCAAATCACCCAGTTTATATTGCTGTTCCATTGTGCAAGGGTTTGTTTTAAGGATTTTTCAAAAAAAGAAGGTTTTTCAAACCAAATGTGCCATATTTCTTTCCAATCTTTTTATTTTCCTTCATCTTCATAATTCTGCAGAAAAAAATTTCTGCTGATTTTCTGTACAACTCATATTTGTATGCAAATATTCTGTCAAATGTAGCCGAAATTCGGCTAGAACGGTCACTCCATTTTAGTAACAGCGGATCACAATAGAGTGTGTTTACTATAGACTGAAGCGTGGCTATGTATATAGCCACGTTCACGGGTCTAGTTGGTCCCTTATTACAGGCTTACTAGGAACCGGGCCCTACACTACACGATCGCCCAAAAGTGGGGTCCGGATGCAACATTCTTTCCTTTATTGTTAAGTTAATTTTAAAAAAGTACAACTATAATAACAAGAAACCAAATAGTACAAAAAATTAAAACTCGCCTTGAACAAGTTGAAGATACCGCACCATGCCATTGACATGATTGATGAACTTTAAGCTAGGTAAATAGCAACGACCTCTATTGTTCACAAGCAGCATACATGTACAAGCGCCGTCAAGAGGCAGTGTTACTGTTGAGCCCATTCTTGAAAATCACGCATTCTCGAGAATGGGCATGCACATTCTCGAGAATGGGCGCGCATTCTTAAGAATGAGCGCTCATTCTTAAGATTGGGTGGGAATATCACGTGCACAATTTATGAATTTTGCCCAATCTTAACAAACATTGCACGACATAATTATGTTAAATGAATTGTATAGCGGTTAAAAGGGAAATAATTCATATAAAGAGGAAAGAAAATGTGCTATGCTTCTGTACTCGTATAACTACGATAATTTGAATCAAATTAAACCTGTTATTATTGCTTTTTTCTGCCCACTATGGGAAGTTTTGTAATAACGGAGGACTGGGAACTAGTCTGGGAAGTGCTTTGTTTAGGCTAGACAAGTTACAAGTCCCTGCATGTATCATATGCGTGCCACGAAAAAAAACGATGTCCAGAAGCTGCCAAAATTGCTCTTTTGGCTAGATAGAATCCAGCTCTGCGACGTTATGGTGGGATGTGAACAATAAATTGGTGGCAATTTAAATGGGAAATAGCATAAGCACTATGGGATGTCGCAGTATTCATTCTCATTCTTCACATTTTTCATTCTTACGTCCCCCCCCCCGCTTTTATTATCCCAAAAATCAGAATTCTTTGCACTAGTATTATTATGTCTCTTATATTTTCCCGGTCCTCCCCCCCCCCCCCCCCCCCATATCAATACGCCTTTACTTATCATATCCACTCTACATGTACTTTTCAGCGCTTTGCGTTGCAACAGTATAATTATTGAGAATCAGTGAACGAGGATTCAGCTAGACTTGCCAAGCGCAGCCGGTGCTCGGCATCGACAAGACCGTTATCTTGTCGCGCATTCTCAAGAATGTGCGCTCAATACGGAAGAGTTATTTTTTGCCAAGATTGAGCAAGGATCCAGTTGCACATTCTCAAGAATGTGCATGCCCATTCTCGAGAATGCGTGATTTTCAAGAATGGGCACAACATTGCCACCATAGACATTATAATAATTCGCTCGTACCCCCGCCCTGGCCCTGCAAACAGGACAGGGCTGACGTCATTTTAGCTCTCATTGGATAGATTTGCGTGACCTGTGACGTAGAATGCGTCACACAAACTAGCTTCCGGTGTCACATGAAAATCGGACTAGTATGAAAATCGGACTCTTTTTCCCTTTTATTGGTTAAACAATGGCACGTGACGTACGTCCTTTTAATCTATGCATGAGCATGCGCAATACCACCAAAGAGTCCGTATTTCATAAAACCTAAATTCATGCTACACCGGTGCTCATCCTGCGTAGCGAGCGCTAGCTGTATGCGAAGGTCAATCTCTACTTCCTTAATTCACAAGATTCTGTGAAGCTCATCGGGGGGTACGAGCGAAATATTAATGGTTGCCACTACTTGAAACAATTTTCAAGAGATCTTGCAAAATTGAGACCTATCTTGAAAAATTGGGGGGGGGGGGGAATCTGAAAAAGCCAAATGTAGAATTTTAAATCTTTTTCCAATATAATGGACTTTTTTACGGTTGTGTGATTGTTATTTTAAATTTATTTTCTCCGTTGACCGTTTTGGCCGATTCGCGGCTAGATCTGACAGATTGTTTTTGGGAAAAAAGGAATTAGTAGAACATCTAGCAGAAAGAAAATTTTAGCAGATTTCGAGCAGAATTGTGTAAAATGGGTGGTCCTACCCAAAAAATATAGCACATTTGTGTTTCTTTAGGTTTACATTGGGTTACACAAGGTTGTGTAATGATTTATTTTGCATATATATAGGCTTGAAAAAATATCTCGAAAAATTTTGGATGCTGATCTTGAAAAAAAAAATTATTTACTCAAATTAAGCAATTCGCTTGTATATACCTCCCGCGCTCTGCAAACAGGGCGCTGGGAAGGGGTCCTACTAAAATGGGTCAACAAGCTAGTGTCAACAAGCGTATGCTGATGAAGATGTTCCTTTTCGCTATTTAATTCTACCATATAAAGCTACTTCTGATGTTCAAAAAAACCTTGATGACCGCTGCCGCTGCCCAATTGACGCCAGTTGACGCTTGTTGACGCATTTGTGTATGACTGCTGGGATGGAAAGGGCTGATGAGCTTCACAGAATCTTGTGAAGGAAGTGAGGATGGCATCCTGGGTAATTTATCAAGACCTATATGTATATAATAAAGCATCTGGCTGCAGCTGTTTAAGACCACGCAGTTAGCCAATGCGCGCAAATGCTATCTGAACGGAAAACTTTCTCACAGAAATTTCTTATCTAAGGGGGGCTACTGCTATATTAATACACAATGAAAATTCACAAGTAAAAGTTGGCCCTGCCACACTCATGCCATCTTTAAAATGTTGGCTCGCGCTCCTGACAACACAAAAAACATACACACAAAAATACTGCTATATATACACAATTATTTACTTCGGGATTGGACTGATGATCTGATTACATGCCTAGGTCTGGTGAAGATTTCCACGGATTCGTATAGGAGCTAGAGAGACAGTCTTCATCAACGGAATTGGAGTCTGAAGTCTGTTCTCGTTGCTGGTGGTGATCGTCTGGAAATACATCTGCGTATTGAGGTGGAGGAGAGGCTGGAGGAGGCACATCTTGGGACTCATGGGAAGGGGGAGCTTTGGTTGTCATCTTCTCCTGCAGCTTCACTTTCTTCAGGTGCTGCCTCATGTACTGCATGGTGTCGTTGTGCAGGCTGGGCCAAAAGTTTCGCCCGGCCCCCTCACTTGTTTCAGGACATGGCCGTATCCTCCTGTCTCCATACTGTCATGCAAACTATGAGGTACTCTCTCCCTTAAACTTTGGGGTAGTACTGGTACCAGTTGAGACTTGCCCTTGCCTTCTCCTCTCCTGTAGAGAAGCAAGCCCTTCTCTCTTCCAGGTGATCCCAGACATTCAATAGTCGCTGTACCGATTTTGCTCGACGTGCCAATTTGTACTCCGGCTCGTCCTCATAGGATTTGACAGCTTAAGTTCCACCACTCTCCTGATATGGCAGGATCTTGTTGCTGTCCCTGACGCAGATTGTGACTGTGGCTACATCAGATGCCTCCAATACCCTGGCTTGACTGGCCACTGGTTGGGGCAACGGTGGGGACTTGTCTTCGAGGGGGGACACGAGGGGCTTCTTTTGGACTGGGATCTGGTTCGTTGATGGACACGGGTGAAACATGGACCTGCTGGGGCTGTGTGGTCCTCTGGGGATGAACACTATGTAGACTTCTATTAATGTGCATTCTCTGATGCTCCTGTTCACTAGGGGCCAGCCAGGATTTGGCTTGGGGGGGGGGGGGGCTCACAAATTGTTTTTCTAATTTTTTCTTTTTTTGGAAATTTGAATTTTTTTAAAAATGTTACCACACAATTGTTGGCCGCAGAAAAAAAATTGTTTTTTTTTTAAAGCATTTCGGGGACGGACTATTTTGACGTTGGTGGCGCCATTTACACCCCTATTATACTACTCGAAAATAGGCCACGTACATATCACCACGGTAAAATCGTAGGACTAAACCCCCCCCCCCCCCGGTTGCGCCCGCTTGCTTTGATGATCCGAGAAATGACAGCCTTCAGTGTATTAACCTGATGAAATTGCTGGAGTATCACATGCTACATCTGGGTTTGGTGTTGCAGCAGCTGAAGAATCTGCAGCTGTGGCTCAGCTACAGGGACTTGGTGGGCTTGTTGGACAGGGCTGGTGGGCACTGGATCAAACCCACACTGGATCAAACCCACATAGCTGAAGGATAGTTAGGACCTCCGCTATCCTGCGCTCCTCAAGTTCATTAACCAAAAACACTGTGTGGGTTTCGATTTAAAAAAATACTTTTGGAGAAAAAAATAAGCACCAGCTACAAAAAACCCATGAATGGCTAAATTCCTAAAGAAAATTAATCGTCCCGGTTTTCGGCACCAAACAATTTGTAAAAAACATGTTACGGCGAAAAAAATGGCTCACTGAAGAAAATCCTGGTTCAAATGATTAGTCGCGATTTAGTTATTAAGCTGGGACCAAAAAAAAAAAGGAATCAATGAAACAAAATGGACTCCTTAAAAATTTAATTCAAACAGATTAAAAAAAAAATGCATATCCGTCAAATAATGAGGTTTCTCAAATACTTCCAAAATCCCACTCTGGATCAAACAACGAATTAAACTCAAAAGAATTTGCCAAAGATATAAAGTAAATAATTGGATACGATTTGGGGATAATTACAGAAAAAAAACTAAGTTTAAAGAATAAAAACCGAGGGGAAAAAAAGGTAAACCCACAAACCCACAAAGCACTAGTGGCAAGTGTCTCTTAAAGCACAAAAATGAACTAAAAACCAATGACTAGACTAGCAGAAAACCCAAAGCAGGGAAAACACTCTCCAGGTAGGAGAAAAATAAAAGGCTAAAATGTTATCTTGTCTCTCTGCTGGTCTGCTGAACTACAACTCTATGAGGCTTCAACATGTGGGAACTTATATATGGGGAACATGTGGGCTAAAGTAAACAAACAGGGGGACACACTACCAAGCAGGAAAGGGGGGGGGGATATCTAAATTTCAACTAAAATGATGTTCTTCTCTAAGGGGGCTACTCCTATATTAATATACAATGAAAATTCACAAGTAAAAGTTGGCCATGCCACACAAGCAGGAGGGGAAATGTACAGCTTCACTAGCTTGAACATGGGAGACGAGAGTGAATTTATAAGGGGGGGGGGGGCTGTCAATGTGCACAAAAACTGACAAACTGTAAAGATCCTCTCTTAGTAAATAGGGTAACAATATGCTGATGGGTGTTTGCAAAATGGCATGAATTCAATAATGCAAAGCCAGGCAGGTATGACAACTGAACATTTACTAGACCCTCTCCAATTGAACAAATCACTTTGTGCAGCCTTGAGTCAGGAAACATTTTGTTCAGACATGTTTTCTGGGGAAAAAAAGGAAAAGAAACAA